TGTATAAACCCATGATTTGTTTTCCACACATTGTGTTGTGTCTTTTAATGTGCCCATATCGTTAAAAGGCCACTCAAGGATTATGACTGGTTGTATTTTACGGTCGTGCCATTTGGTTTAACCAATGCGCCTATTACTTCCCAGCAACCACTGGAAAACAGAAACCAGCTTTTCTAAACGCGTAATGTAAGCAACAATTGATAAAATTGAAAGCGGGGGAAATAAAAAAATTTATGTTTTTATTATATGCAAAATTAATAAAGAAAGGCAAATTTCGGAAATGACAGTAGGCAAGGACTATTCTGAGAATGTTGGTTTTTCATAGTAAAAAATAGAACCGGGTTTCCACTCCACCCGGTTATCTATAACAGCATATCTTTTAACTTGTGACTATCTTTTTACGTTGAACTAATAAGAAATGTGCGTGTTACTGTTTCTATGAATTAGCTGGGAAGGTAGGAATTATCTCGTGGCTCAACGGATCCTCCGGTTTCCTCCCACAGTCAAACAGCCCTACGCGCAAGCGAATTGTATTCTTTATTTGACTATATTCTAGAATATTTTGTCTTGAATTTAGTCTTCTCACCAGGCACCAGGGGCCGATTGTTCAAAGCACCGTTAACTTACAACGACTCATTAAAATGGAGTCAACAGATGGATATCCAGGGCGGATCCAAGGAGTTTTGCAGTAGGGGTTTGCCAGGTTTCCGTTAAGAAAATTTGACAGTTGACAATACATAATCCCATCATCGTCTCCATATTACGTATACAAACACACTTCACAGTTGTCCCACTTTCTTCAGTTTCTTGTTAATACTAACTTTTATAAAGTTGTTATACATGTACATCAAATTTAAAAATTTAAAAATCCAGCCAATGACCTAACAGTCTTCTCTTGGATTAACTTTAATCCATCCGTTAGCTAACGGATAATGAAATTGACTTTCTAGCAACAGAAATTTAACGGACCATTAAGAAACGACACGTTAGCAAGATAATGATCCGTTAGAGTTTTACTGTTCTGCTCCGACTGGGCTAGTGAAGTGTGTTATGAGGGAAATTTTGCCCGAGCAGCGGCACCATGGCCTACTCTTATATCGAATTCCGATTCCTAAGGGATCTTTTACGTGCACGCCAATGTGTACACGGGACCTCGGTTTTTCGTACCATCCGAACGACTAGACAGCTGCCCTTGTCAGTCACTCCGTCCTGCAGTAGAGTTTAATAGACTTTGATCAATAATAATCGTTATTAAACATACTCTATTTAAAGGGCCCGGTCCCAAATTGTGGATTTGTAGGTAATATCCCTATATTTAACGACTTAATCCACACTAAAACATACTCATACGTCCGATGCACACTGATTAGCAGTGAATATTCGCAAGGCTGTTACAATCACTGATAGGGATGACATAACACTGATCACCAGTGAATATTCGCTAGGCCGCTGCCATCACTGATAGGATGACACCGATGCACACTGATCAGTAGTGAATATTCGCTAGGCTGTTACAATCACTGATAGAGATGACATCGGTTCGGCTTAATGAGACCCCAATATTAACTTTGTTTCCTTCTGCGTAAATTCTAGATCTTTTTTTAAGCATTAGAAAAATAAATAAAGGGGGGGGGGCATAAATTCACAATAAAAACTAAGATATTTAGTTTTCAAACCTTTATTAAAATCTCTGAAAATATATACATTGGATCAATAATTAATATACATCAACAAACATATATCACAGTAGTAGAACAAAGGCATGTATAATTAAAATTACATTACGCAAGAGCTAAATCTACCTATGGTATTTCAATAATTAACACACTAAAATACATCACCCATTAAATATGCCTTAAAATTATCTTAAAGATACATTATGGGAGATAAGATAAAGAGATGGCAATTCTCGCTATAATAGTTAAACTAGATAGAGTAAAGGTAATTTGCTGAAAATTTCAGTCAAATTGATCCTATGAGCTGAGAAAGAAGCCGGTGAAATTTTTGCATAGTCTCGGTTATCATTACTTAAATCATTAATATAAACAGCATAGTCTCGATTATACACTTTTTCTGATATAATTATCTTTGGCCGTTAGCGGCATATAGGAATCTAATCCAGCCTACATCGAAGGCTAGCCTTGACATCGAGAGTTTATTATGGTCTGGATAAGTTAATTAATGTCTAATTGATAATTTAGATAACATTTCAGGCCTAAAGAAAGACTTGTAATAAGCAGATTTTGCTCTTGCATAATGCATGTTTAAATGTACATGTATAGTGTATAAGTAATTGATCACCCATATTTAATATGCCTTAAATCCATCTTAAGTGTTATATATGGATGTCAGATTTTTCGTAACCTGGCTGTTTCGTACTTAGTTGATTCGTACCTCGCATTAGCCGTTTCGTACTTCACTTCGTACCTCAAATTGATTCATACCTTTTCCTATATTTGTTTAAATCAGTTAAAAGAAATTGAAATAAAGGTGAAAAGATTTGATCAAATGCAACGGCTACGCTAAATTTATAAAAGTGGCTGCCGGGCCATAATTAGAATATGCACGAGATTAGTTTGTTTTCCTAAATGTGTTTGAAAGAAATTGAAATAAAGGTGAAACCAGGGGCGTACATAACGATTTTGTTTGGGGGGGGGGGTGTTTAGCCAAAATGCGACCGACTGATGCACATACCCCCAGTACGAGTGACACAGTCAGGAGCCGCCCACCACACGTGCCAGTTTTCTAGGGGTCATGTGCAGTAGCGGATCTAGAAGCTGGGAATAGGGGGTGGGTGGTTCCAAATCTAGTACGCCATCCACAATCCCACCCCACAATGAATGTCAACAAAATAATGGCTATAACATTAAGCGTCCCAGTAGAACATAGATAGTATTGTATAATTAATAGTTGTTCGCCGATCGTTGTCTCGCCGGAATGCAGTTTTATTTAAGTTGACAAAAAGTTTATGTCATATATGATGATTGTGCCTATAACACTGAGCAGCCTGAGAAAAATTGAGTCAATATCCTAGCATTTGAGATCATTGCTGGGAGAAAGTCTTGTGGACGAGAGGACCAGAAATGTGAGTCAATGGGACAGAATCTCGAGATCTGCCCCTGTCAATTCAGCCTGTTTTGCAAGAGTTGGCATATCATTTGTATAGTCTGACGCTCCACGACCCACACACCAGTATAACCGTGAATATGATAGTGCTTAGACAGTATAAGACAACAGAGGAATGGAAGAATGATGTTGAAACGGATTTGAGAGCCGCAGGCTCGAAAAAATTTAAGATATGTAACCGAGCTTATAATTTTTCGGGACTGGGCTTGAAAATTTTAGTCAATGTTATAGCAAATGGAACCAAATTCTCGTTAACGAGAGGATAAGAAATGGGACAGAATCTTGTGGCCTATCTGTCAATTTCGCCTGTTTTGTGATTGTTTGTTTACCTCATTAATTCATTTAGTCTGAGACCGACTGCGGTGATCAGTACTTTTTTTGAGACCGACTATTTTTTTGCCATGGGGGAAAAACATTTCATATAACAACATACTTGCAACAGAATAAGAGTGACAAACATTTTTTCAAACATGACAAGCAGACATGGTTATTTTATCCTATAGTTTTGTGTAACGTATGCAATTTAGGCTCACAGATTCACGCAAATACATAGTATTTGGGATCTATTCTGGCATTGTTTGTTTACCTCATTAATTCATAAAGTCGCCGATGCATAATTTTGAGACCGACTGCAGTGACTTCACTTATTTTGAGACCGACTATTTTTCTCCCTGGGAGAAATTTGGTTCTTAGACCAACATACTCACAACAGAATAAGAGTGAAACACAACATTTTTTCAAACATGATAAGTTGACAAGATTATTTTATACTAAATTTTTGCGTGAGTAACGTGACGTATGTAGTGGTCACTTATAAGTTATTTTGATACCGACTGCTCTTATTTTGCGACCGACTGCACTGATTTTGCGACCGACTATATTTCTTCCTGGGGGGGGGGGGGGGTGTACCACCCCCACCCACTCCACATTTACGCCCCTGGGTGAAACATAATTGAACGATTTGATCACATCCAACGGCTGTGGTAAATTTATAAAAATGGCTGCCGAACAAAGCTATGATGATTTAATAACAAAATCCAAACTGTATGCATTGAAAAAAAAAAAATAGAAATTTCCATATTGATATTACACAGCCTGCCCAATAGTAGTAATTCACACACAAAGGATATATTTAAACTAAAATTGCTTCAGCATTTCACTAAATTTACGATCGAAATCCATTTTCATACAGTCGGACCGTTTCAATAACAGAATTACCGCGTGCATGATATAACCGTACATGTATATATAGGCCTACAATTAAGTGATCACCCACTTGCCTTCAATTTATCTTAAATATTATAAGTGATCACCCATTAAATATATTAAAATTATGCATTAAGTTTATCTTAAATGTTATATATATAAGTGTTCACTGTTCACCCATGAAACATTTTAAGTACCGTATGCCTTCAATTTATCTCAAATGTTATAAGTGTTCACCCATGAAACATTTTAAGGGGGGCGTGAAGTGTTCTCAGGGGTGCTGTAAAATTGACGGCCAATGTCTATTTTTTATTTTTATGGTCGATAATATTTTCACAGGGGGTGTGTGGGTGAAACTTTTTGCGCCCACACACCCCCGCTAGTTGATAACCCATTAAATATATTAGCTATATATACCCAAAGATTATTTTTTTTAAAAGAAGCCCACCAGGATGGCAAAACACAATTATTTTGTTTGAAACCAAGGGGGCTAGTTGAAGTGTAAGAAGACAGTTCTGGTTAACAAGTTATATAGCCCAGTTCCAAGTAAAATAAGTGTTAAGATGTTACTGTTAGTGTAAGGTGCGCTACTCAATGCACTATATAACTTTGTAACACAATAAAGCCTGTAAATTATAAATATCTATTGAATTGAACATGCCGCGCAGTAGTGTACAAAACCGCCTATATAATCTCGATTGCCAAGACGCGTGGGTCGTGAGACGGTAATGTATCATTTTGATGACGCACGTTGTAGCTTCGATCACCAGGAGTTATAAATGGAATGACAAGTTGTTGGCTGTGTGGTATGTATATACGAGTAGCTTAATATAATATCGGCCCTGTATATATATATTTACTTCCATCGTGTAGGCTACGTCGGGGATTATTAAATTAGACAGAAATTCGATCTGATCTCAGTCAGACTGTTCGTAATTATCATACGATATATTTCACATTCTCTCGATCTCCACTTGTTATATCGAAACTAGTCACGATGAATAAACGTTATAACCGTGTCATATACAATCATCATACCGACCTGTCGTCAATGATTTAATTTCAAAACTAGATAGAAATTACGATCTGATATCAGTGAGACTAGCTGTTCATATAAATATTATACGATATTTTTCACATTATCTCCACTGTTACATCGAAACTAGCCACTATGAATACCTTCCTGGTTTCAAGTTATACATGACCTAAATTAATATGTCCTGTTTCATGGCCGAATGGTTAACGCGTGCGCGCAGTATCATAAGGTCTGTCATTGAGTCAACTGGCGAGGTTTCGATTCCCCGGTTGTGGGTGACAAGGAGTAGGGTCGCCCGTCCAACCTCGTGGGTTTTCTCCGGGTCCTCCGGTTTCCTCCCACTGCTAAAGACCCCTACGCGCAAGCGAATTATTACAATAAAATTGAAACATATATGTTAGTCCCAAAAATGACCTAGTTTGTGTCGAGTGGACGTTAAATCCCATCACTCTCTCTCTCTCTCTCTCTCTCTCTCTAGTCTCTTATAGCTCTCTCTTCATTTAGTATTGATACATACTTTACGCAAGTCTTACTCTTATATTGTGTCTATTTTTAGCCCGTTTTGCGGGACTACAGGGAGTTTCCATAAGGAAGACACATCTATTGGGATTTCTGGATTAAGGTTAGGAATACATATCCCTGTCCCTCACCCTTGGGGCGTTTAACTCGGCGTACATGACTACTTTACGTAAGCCTTCTAGACCACTCCAACCCCGTGGGTTTTCTCCGGGTCCTTTGGTCCCTCTCTCTGCTAAAGACTCCTACGCGGAAGCCAATTAATTGAAATAAAATTTAACCATATCTTAGTCCCGAAATGACCCCCATCTCTCTCTCATAAACTACCAGTGGTCTCTTTTTTTCGTCCGGTAGTGGGCGAGGCTGTGGGAATTTCCATGGACCAGTGGTCTCTTTTTTTCGTCCGGTAGTGGGCGAGGCTGTGGGAATTTCCATGGACCAGTGGTCTCTTTTTTTCGTCCGGTAGTGGGCGAGGCTGTGGGAATTTCCATGGACCAGTGGTCTCTTTTTTTCGTCCGGTAGTGGGCGAGGCTGTGGGAATTTCCATGGACCAGTGGTCTCTTTTTTTCGTCCGGTAGTGGGCGAGGCTGTGGGAATTTCCATGGACCAGTGGTCTCTTTTTTTCGTCCGGTAGTGGGCGAGGCTGTGGGAATTTCCATGGACCAGTGGTCTCTTTTTTTCGTCCGGTAGTGGGCGAGGCTGTGGGAATTTCCATGGACCAGTGGTCTCTTTTTTTCGTCCGGTAGTGGGCGAGGCTGTGGGAATTTCCATGGACCAGTGGTCTCTTTTTTTCGTCCGGTAGTGGGCGAGGCTGTGGGAATTTCCATGGACCAGTGGTCTCTTTTTTTCGTCCGGTAGTGGGCGAGGCTGTGGGAATTTCCATGGACCAGTGGTGTCAATGTTTTCATCGGGTTGTGGGCGGGACTGTGGGAATTCCCATGGGGGAAAATACATCTATCGTGAATTCTGTTAAGAATACCAATCCCTCGCCCTTGAGTAATATGTGATATAACTCAATCTGCAAGCCACTACCTCACAGTTGACCTTGTCGAATCGGCTTTCAAGTCACAACCAGTTATTTAATCTTTATTTGCATATCACATGACCCCATTCATACAGTTGCTATAAAAAGATCGATTGAACCAAAACTGCATATCACGTGGCTTCATTCATACAATGAAAACTGTTTAACGGGCGTATATGAGCTAAATCTATTTGTTAAGGCCGGCTCAGTTTTTGTCAAGGTCGTTGAGATGTATAAGGTTAAGGCACGTGATTGTTGGCGAGATTGTACAGGCCCGTAGCCAGAGAGGGGCAAGGGTGGGGGCATGCCCCCCCTCCGAAAAGATGTTTTGCCCCCCCCCCCGAAAATTTAAATTTGCCGACCATAGCTCTAAATTACCTACTGTAGACTGTGCTGGGTGTCCCCCCCCCCTAAAAACTTCACTGCCCCTCCGAAGCTAGGAAGCTGGCTACGGGCCTGGATTGTAGGTTAGGGTTAGGGTAAGCATTGGGGCTAGGTCCAGGGTTAGGTTAGGGTTTGGATTAGCGCTAGTACTGGGCCCTGTTTGTCGAAATTTTAACTAAGATAAAATCCAAATTTTAGTAATTTGATTGGATAATATTAGATTGATTTTAGTGCTTAGCCAATCAAAATTGAAGTATCTACTAAAATTTGGATTTTATCTTTAGTTAAAATTTTATGAAACAGGCCCCTGTTTACATCTCGTGACCTATGACGAAAAATTGAGCTGACCTTATTATTTAGCACTAACTGGGCGTATGACTTTATTCTGTGAAACCATAAAATAGACGATAATGGGTGTAAAAGCACATAATGTGATATATTATAAAGTGATTATATTCAATTTTAAATTTTTTATCATAAATTCTAATCAATATTGTTCGGCGAAATAGTCCAAATTGAACAGCAGTCGTTTACACCTGGTTAGTCCGATCTACGCTTTTTATACACCCACATGGAAATGTGATCGTATTTTGCCGTCGCCCCTGTCCGTACGTCCGTCCGCCCGCCGTCCACAATTTCTTGTGAACACTCTACAGGCTACATTTATCATCTGATTGTTTTGAAATTGATATATGCTGGTTACAGGGCCGTATTAATTAGCTCAGAGCAGCGAGGGGGCGGGTAGTGTTCTCAGGGGTGCTGTAAAGTTGAGGGGGCGAAGCTTTTTGCAGGAGGTCACGTGATCAAGCTGGTTGAATTGATACCTCATGTGGGGTCGGATTACGACAAAACTACGAACATACATACAACATAGATTTCGACCTCCCCCTACCCCTCCCGGCGCTATTGCACTTTCGTACCTCTACCAGTTCCCGTGGTCATAGGCACTTGAAATTTTCAGAGGATGTTAAGGGGGGCTAGCAATGACCACAAACCAAATTTCAGCCAAATCGATAAATAACTTTTTATTTTACCGACCTTTTAATTTCTAACGAGAGAGAACTTCATCCGTTTGACGCCATTTGCTTTGTTTACTAATTAGACTTGAATAACAAGACACTAAGACGGAAACCGACTCGAATAACAAGACACTTAGACGGAAACCGACACACTGCACTAGCTGCCTAACACTGCAGTTCATAAAAATTAATATAATTTTCGTATACTTTAATTTTTGCGCGAAGCCACCATTTTCTATAAAATACTATTTGGTGTTGATCAGTGGATTGGCCTTTAGGTGTAAATATTGCCGTGACCTTGATTTTGACCTTGAGGCCAAACGTCCCATCCATCTCGGGCCCTTTGCGTTTATGCTTGCCGTGGCCTTATTTCTAACTGTATTATCAAAGTTAATGTTCGAGGTGAAAGCAGAGACGACGTCCTCCAGAAAAGATAATTGGGTCAAAGTCGTAGGTCAAGGTCATCTTACAGAAAACTAAACTCGGACTTTTCAAAGTCAGTTTTGGGACATTTGACCTTGACTTAAGGCCTTGACCTTGTAACCATTTTCGAAGGCTATCACCTTGGCTTGAACCATCGACGTTTACTTTGGTCCTGTCGCACACTGTTCGGTCAGAAAAGTGTCAAACGCAAAGGGCCCGTGTCCGAAAGGAAGTCAATGGGCGTGGTCAATGTGAAAGGTTGTGGTGACCTCCACTAGTCACCTTTAATCATCCGTGACCTTGACTTTGACCTTGAGTCCAAACTTCCCATCCATCTCGGGCCCTTTTCGTTTATGCTTGCCGTGACCCTATTTCTTACTGTATTATCAAAGTTAATGCTTGAGGTGAAAGCAGAGACAACGTCCTTCAGAAAAGTTAAAAAGGTCAAAGTCGTAGGTCAAGGTCATGTTACAGAAAACTAAACTCAAACTTTTCAAAGTCAGTTTTGGGACATTTGACCTTGACTTACAACCTTGACCCCGTAACCATTTTCGAAGGCTATCAACTTGGCTTGAATCATGGGCGTTTACCTTGGTCCTGTCGCACACTGCTCGGTCAGAAAACGGTCAAACGCAGAGGGGCCCATGCCCGAAAGGAAGTCAATGGGCGTGGTCAATGTGAAAGTTCGTGGTGACCTCCACTAGTCACCTTTAACCATCCGTGTCCTCGACTTCGACCTTGAGTCCAAACTTCCCATCCATCTCGGGCCCTTTGCGTTTATGCGTGCCGTGACCTTATTTCTTACTGTATTATCAAAGTTAATGTTCGAGGTGAAAGCAGAGACGGCGTCATTCAGAAAAGATAATTGGGTCAAAGTCGTAGGTCAAGGTCATGTTATAGAAAACTGAACTCAAACTTTTCAAGGTCAGTTTTGGGACATTTGACCTTGACTTACGAGCTTGACCCGTAACCATTTTCAAAGCCCATCATCTTGGCTTGAACCATCGACGTTTACCCTGGCCCTGTCCCAAAAATGACTTTGAAAAGTTTGAGTTTAGTTTTCTGTAACATGACCTTGACCTACGACTTTGACCCAATTATCTTTTCTGAATGACGCCGTCTCTGCTTTCACCTCGAACATTAACTTTGATAATACAGTAAGAAATAAGGTCACGGCACGCATAAACACAAAGGGCCCGAGATGGATGGGAAGTTAAGACTCAAGGTCAAAATCAAGGTCACGGCAATATTCACACCTAAAGGCCAATCCACTGATCAACACCAAATAGTATTTTATAGAACATCGTGGCTTCGCGCAAAAATTAAAGTATACGAAAATTATATTAATTTTTATGAACTGCAGAGATAGGCAGCTAGTGCAGTGTGTCGGTTTCCGTCTTAGTGTCTTGTTATTCGAGTCTAAATAGTAAACAAAGCAAATGGCGTCAAACAGATGAAGTTCTCTCTCGTTAGAAATTAAAAGGTCGGTAAAATAAAAATGTTATTGATCGATTCGGCTGAAATTTGGTGTGTGGTCATTGCTAGTCCCCCTTAACATCCTCTAATAATTTCAAGTTCCTACGACCACGGGAACTGGTAGAGGTACGAAAGTGCAATAGCGCCCCCCTCCCATGCAACATAGCTTCCAGATCCGCCACTATGCGGCCACCACTTATAGTTATACCACAGAGTTATTTTTACTCTGTGCTTATACAGCGTATACTACAGTATGTGTGACGTCAGGTGCTAAAATGTGGGAGTCATGTACCCACTGTGTAAGGCGTCTGAGTTCGATCCCAGTGTAGGTCAACCAAGTTTGTTAGGAGTTTTAAGGGTTGTTTTTCACATGTCAGTGTTAAATGGGCGAACGTTGTCTAGTCGTTCGGATGGTACAAAATACCAAGGTCTCTGTCATAGTTCCAGCTAACAGCAGTTAGAACCTGTCACCCCCGCCATAACATCATCACTGCAATAGTGGACTGTTCTATCACCCTTGTTCATTCAGTCTCAGTAGACTGACCCAAAACCCCAAAAACCAGGCTTTTGTAAACATCCTGTTTATGAATGTAGAACCTTTCCTCCATATTAAAGTGTTATATATAAGTTTATGTCATTAAATTTTTCGCATAAACAACTCCTTGACAAGTTGGAATTCCACGAAGAGTAGGCAGAAACGCCACTGCTCGGTCCAGATTTCTCCCATAGGCGGAGCCACGATGACTAAGTAAGTGGGTAAGATGCTGGCTCGCTATCCTAGGGGTTGATGTAGTTTCCCCTTGTCAGTGGTGCAGGACGGAGGGTCTGGCAAAGACAGCTGTTTAGTAGTCCGGATGGTGTGTACTAAAAAGATCCCTTGGCAGTTGGAATTCGATATAAGAGTAGACCATGTGCTGCTACCCGGGAACACCCCCCCCCCCCGCCCCCGCCATGGCCCATTATGGCGTATGCCCGTCTTTATTAGCCCAGTCGGCGCAAAGCAGTAGGACGTTAAACCCCAATTTCATTTCATTTCATGTTCCCATAGCAGGCTGCATGGTATATTCCGGTCCTCATTTGCAGAAAAGTAGGACGGTTAAAGTAGGAGCTGTTGAAACAAATCCACGCCGATGGTACATTGTTGTAGGCCTATAGCAATTGAGTGTGGCCTTACCTGGAGTTTTATTTTCCAACAAGAAGATATTTCAAATATATTTATTTATACATTTCAGATTTTCATTATCCAATAAAAAGTGATTTGCCTTGCAGACAGGATTCAACAGATAATATTGTCCAGGATTACTAATTGTTGTTGACTTTCCAGTGAGAATTCAAAATGGCGGCGCCGAGAGGAATGACAGACGTAGTGGAGTATTTGATAGACAATGGTGCCGATGTTAATCTTCTGGATTCATTCCAAAATACCGCACTTCATTATTTGGCCGCTAATTTAAACCCCCATACGGATAAAGCATATTTAGTTCAGAAATTCGTGGATTCGGGAATAGATTTTGATATACAGAATGGAAAAGGAAAGACGCCATTATTCATCGCTGTAAGGCATGCCAACGAAGATGTGGTGCGTGTTTTGATCCGAAATAAATGTAACGTAAATCTGAGAGGGGGGAAGACAAAGGAACCGCCCTTGAAGGCCTCCATATATCGCTATGTTAAAGGCAGAAAAAGTTTGAGTACTATGCTGTTAACAGCGGGCTGTGACGTAAATTCGTCTGATGCCGATGGCGTGACGCCATTGATGATAGCTACCAGATACAGGAATACAGATCTTATTAAGATGCTCATTCAAAAAGGCGCCGATGTTAATGCTCGAGATAAGCGCGGTAGAACTGTTTGTCACTACTGTTTCCATGCAGGTGTGGTCCGCAACCCTAGCTCCAGACGTATCTACACTCTTGATCCCAGTCTTAATATTTTAGAGTATTTTAAAACGTTAGGAATAGACGCCCTGAAAGAGAATAAGAACAACGCGTTGCTATGTAATGTTTTAAGCTGTTCCGATTTCACATCACTTGATTATCTGCTAGGTAAAAACATAACTTTTAACGAATTGAATGAATCCGGCGAAAACATCCTTCATCATTTGGTTAGAGCCAGAGATTTTAAAATGGATTACGACTTAGAAAAATTAATTGTTGAGGGGGTCGACATCAATCAAAGAAATAAAAATGGCGACACGCCCTTCATGGTGGCAGCATTCATGATGAACATCAAATGCATGGAAGCCATGTCCAAGATAAAGGGGAGTGAACTCGGTCTGACTAATAACAGGGGCCACAACGCACTGCATCTTTGTATTATCGGTTTCTCGTGTTCTGAAATGAATTTAATAACTTCCGGTTTATCGGTTTCTGACAACCATAAATTATATTTAAGTTGTGTATGTTTTTTATTAGGGCGCGGAGTCCGCGTAAATGAACGTGATAGGCATGGTCGAACGCCTTTGATGCTTGCAGCCAGCAGCAACGATTCCCGCCTAGTCAAAACCCTGTTAGATGTCGGAGCCGACGTGACTCTTTTAGATAATTTGGGAAAATCCGCTATACAGTATATTACCATAAAGGAGAATGAATCTCATGATGTGAAATGCTTTTTGTACTTATTTAATGCCGGTTTTAAATTTCTCAACATTCCAGATTACGGCGGTAATACAATTCTACAGTCTGCTTTACGCACACTCAGACATAAAACTGCTTGCAGAGCACTAGTGGACTTTTTAATTTCGGAGAACTGTCATTTATATAAAAGATTTTGTTTTGATCCGAGCGGATTTCTTCAGAACAGGACTGCTGATTTTGTTAATTGTCGTAAAGCTCTTCTATGCACGATGTATCAGAGTGGGATGTCGCTAAATATCATTAAATGGGCGTCAGACGACATGACTAAACATTCCCACGCTCTACCGGATAGGCCTAATGCTCAGGTCCAAGACGACTTCCCTTCATTCCGTCTCAAAATGACGCTGCAATCTGAATGCAGGCGAATTATTCGACAAGCACTAGGGCTTGGTATTAAGAAGACCGTAACCACACTTGGCTTACCCACTACGCTACAATCATTCATTTTAATGAAAGATGTCTTACCGACCAAATATTTCACCAATGACGTGTGGTCAATGGATCTTATTACTGAGAAATGTTTCCATGAAAAGTATTATGCCAGTCATATCCGTGTTTACTATAGTCAACAAAAACAGGACGACACCACACATTACAGGATGATGTACCACAAGAACACGTGCTCTCTTAACGACGAGTCGGATGCTGAATCAAGTAGTAGTGATGGAGAATCTCAAGATGATTAGTGGAGGAATAGACAAATACACAATCTCATTAAAACACAGATCCTGTATCGTTTCGTTTCCCCGTCTTCATTACCCCAGTCGGAGCAGAACAGTAGGACGTTAAACTCAATTTCATTTCATTTTATTTCGTTTTTTATATTTCACAATTTCGTTTTACTTGTCTTCACAACACTAGGACCTGGAAGAGTTGTTATATAACCCTGGATGGTGTCAGGGAATGGATTAGCCAATGAAACGGTTTGTTACGGCGAGTTCTTAGCGTGCTCTGCACGTAACTGTGGGTAAACCAGTAGAAACGTCAACGCTGATTGTTTGATTCGATGTATGACGTCATAGGATAAAAGCCGCTCGTATGACCCCTGACGCGACTTCCTAGTACAACTGTTACTGGTCACATCTTCATGTAGTGTAGGCCATCGAAAGTATAAAAAAAAAACGAAACGAAATACAGATCTGTATTTTAAAGGTACATTATGTGAGATTCGATAACGAGTTGGCAGTTCTCACTATAATCATTAAAAACTAGATAACGTAAAGGCAATTTGCTGAAAATATCATTCAAATTGATCCACTATGAACCGAGAACTAAGCGAATGAAATTTCTTCCTAGCCTCGGTCATCATTACAAAAATCAGTACGATAAACAGCATTGTCTCGATTAGCCATTTAATCGTTTAATCGAGAAGGAAAGTTATGCAGTAAATCGGCTCACAATCCACTTAAGATCACAGGCTAGCGATGCCATCTAGAGTTGATTATGATCTGGATAAGTTAATTAATGTCTAATTAATAATTTAGATAACATTTTAGGCCTAAAGAAAGACCTGCAATAAGCAGATTTAGCTCTTGTATAATGCATGTTTAATCATAGAAAAAAATACATGAAACTATAATTGGACAGGGAGAGGGGTTTAATATAGGCTATGTCTGTTCCCTAATCCTTATTCAGGTACAAATCTCAATAAACATATTGTTTTTAAAAAAATATATAGATAAATACGATTTAAAAGGCGCAGTCTGAACTTAATCCATGAATTAAAAAGTGGGTTGGAAGTAAAGGGCCATTATGGAAGATTAGCAAGATAATGTAAAGGAACTATGCTGAAACTTTCAGTCAAATTACTTTACTTGAGCCGAGGTCCCGTGTACAAATTGGCGTAAAAGATCCCTTGGCAGTATGGCGTATGCCCGTCTTCATTAGCCCAGTTTGGGAGCAAAACAGTAGGACGTTAAACCCCATTTCATTTCATTTCAATGAGACGTTATAATAATTTGTTTTAAATTTGAGTAAATAAAGACACGGCCTTCACCTTTCTAATCGATCGTTTTCATGTTGATGTCCACATTTTTACGGCTCGTAAAACTTCCGTGGCTTAGATTTTGCAACTAAAAATGAGATTCGACTTCACGGATGCATGGAAGACGTTAATTTCAGATCATCTCTGGAAAATAAATTCAACTGACTTGACGATGAAATCTGTTTGTTATCAGCGCAATAAGCTCACATATATGAATTAATAAAAGCAGGAATTATTGGTCCTGCCAAATACATTTCCCTGACCCAACGTGACCACCACTCGCCGTGTCACATTCCCGAATTAAAGATACAGTATGTAAGATTTAGATGATAAAGAGCTAACCGTTCTTACTATAATAGTTCGATAAAAGATAATGTAAAATGAATAATTTGAAAATTTCATTCAAATTACCCTATTGCGAACGAAGATATTAGCCTTTGAAGGTTTGATAAGACGTGTACAATAATTTCAACCACCGTACTGGTTGTTCGAAGCTAACTCTCGCTCCTCCATATTTGAATTATATTAAAATATGGCTAAAATATTCTAATCTATTTAATATCGGAGAAATCCGATGCCATCGAGAGTTGATTATGGCCTGCATCAGTTAATTAATGTCTAATTAATAATTTAGAAAACATTTCAGACCCAAAGAAAGACCTACAACGGGCAGATTTAGCTCTTGCATAATGTATGTTTAAGACACATGAGGGCCTGGCCAGCTTCCTCTCAAAATGTTCAAAAACTGTCCCTATGTACATTCCAATACCGAGAGTAAATTAATTATTTTTGTTTTGTTTTTTAAAATTATAACAATAATAATTTATTTCTATTTTTATTAATTTTTTTTTCAGTGATTTTTATAATGTATCTCAAGTGTTCAATACAATAAAGTTGATTTTATCTTTAAGCATATATACCTTGAGTTTCTTGGCCTGTTTCCGATTAATGTAGGGGTGGCGGGAAAGGGTGGGGGGCAGAGAAATTGGTCTGTATAACGCTTTATGTTTACTTTAGTGAGATGAAGACACCTATGGAATTTCAGCAATTTCCGTTTATAACTCCTAGAGTTATGGCCCTTGTTTCACTTTGATGAACATTGTGAACTCTATAACGCAAAAATTGATCATCTGATCTGTATGAAATATATATGCATTATTTAAATTAGTGAAACGAAGAAGTCTGTTGAATTTCAGCAATTTCCGTTAATCACGTCTACAGTTATGGCCCGTGTTTCACTTTGTTGAACCTTGTGAACCATGTAGTGCCAAAAGTTATCATCCAATCTGTATGAAATTTATATTTATATGCATCATTTAAATAAGTGAAATGATGATTTCTATTGAATTTCTGTCTTCATGAGTCCAGTTGGAGCAGAAAAGTAGTATAAATAAAATAAAAACAAGTACGAACAATCCAAACCATTAGACAAAATTCGAAGTCCTAAAAAAACAGTATAGGCAAAATAGTGTTATAAGGCAAAATAGTGTAATCAGCATATGGACTGTTCACCGTGTACAAAATACACGACAAACAGTGGTAACAGGTGTCCGGAAGAGTAAGCTTACCCTCATTTCAATTCAATTCAATCCCATTGAGTTTCCGGTAATAACTTCTAGGGTTATGGCCCTTGTTTCACTTTGTAGAACCATGTGATCCCTCAAAGGACGAAAATTATAATCTGGTCTGTATGAAATTGTCTTGTAAACCCCTCCTTCCCCCCATTACCTACAAAAAAATAAATAGGCAAAAACACATGTCTGCTGCTCAGACGATTTAGCTGCTGTGGGCGCATGTTTTGTTGACTTTAAATTAAATCATTATTTGGTTGAACCTTTCTAATCTACTTAAAATCGGGATGGCATCGAGAGTTGATTATAGTTTTATGTTAATAGATCAGATAACATTTCAGGCCTAAAGAAGACTTGCAATAGGCAGATTTAGCTCTGTTTAACTTCCAGAGGTGGATTCAATGGGGGGCACGAGGGGCGCGAGCCCCCCCTAATTTTCGACAGCGCCCTTTTTTACTGCTGAAAGTGCCTTTTCTCAGACTCAAATATGTCCGTTCCCAACCTGTTGTAGGGATCCCAAATGGACACAGATCACTAAAGATTTCCCCATTGACTCCAATGTTAATTCTCGTATCTTAGACCGGCTCTAACTTTTTCCCAAATTTTCGTTGGGTAGAACGCTTTCTACCACAGATGGAGCAACATGTGGCAACCACTTGCCCAAAAGCACGTATGAGGTTCTTCATGAAAAACTTGAGATACACAAGCTGGAATTAGAGACAAGTAAACATGCAATTTCAGGCCCTACATTTCAACGTAACCAACCTCTCAACTCTTGTATCCTTCCGCATCAAAATTATGAATATTCACCAAAACCTGGCAGAAAATGTATTTTCAAACCCTTTACCTCAATTCTACACCAAAAAGTCAACAAAAATCGCCATGCAAAAGGGGGAAAAAGGAAAAGGGAGAGGAAGACTAAAAATAGCTTTGGCCCTTGTTTCGTGGGTGACGGCGTAGGAATAATTGGTGATCTGTGTCCTATATAGGGGTGAAACTTTAGGGATCACCAAAAGGCCTTTTTTATTTCCTTCCCATGTGTTCTGGCAACATGCCGGTGAAAGAAAATCAAAATCAAAGAATAACTGTAAAAATGATGGTCCTTTAAGTACACATGCTGCATTATGTACACTGGTGCATCTCAGGTCCATAGGCCTTTTGTGCTAAAATTTAAAAATCTTTCTTATTAAAGGCAGTATCTGAGTTCTGTGAAAAAATTAGACAAGTAACAAAGAAACTACATACAAAACACTCATAATTTGGAATTTTTTTCAAAAATATAATTTTTTACTGCCATGTGATGAAAAATGTACAAAATTTACATGTAGCATCTCTCAAAATACCAATAATTTTCCACTTTTTTAAATATCCGGACGGACAAGAAATATATTTTTAGAATCTGTGGACAATATGCAAACAGAAAAAATGCAAACCAGTTGCAATGATTGTAATATTAGAGATCTATACTGAAACATGTATGCCTACCCCCTGAACATGCCACTGATTGAATTAATCTAATCTATGGTTGCAGAACTTACACTACCAAAGGAATCTGTCTAACAGCTATGTTTTACCATCCCTGGCTAACATATGCACATATAAACTAAAATAGGTGCAATAAATATGAATTATGGTTAAAAATAGGCCTTGATGAATGAAAAAAAATGCCATATTTGGTCTATGATCACCCCTCTCTAACAGAAGGGTCACAGAATACACAATTTTCACAAATTTGGGAATATTTCAATGTTTCCAACATCTCAAACCTCAGAGGCATGTTACAAATTTGTATTGCAATCCTTGTGCTGAAGCAAGATGTCTGGAACTTTACATTAATTTCCTGAAAAAATGAAGTCAAAAAAGTAGTCATGACAGACTTGACAACATAAAAAGAGGCCTGAAAAGGAGAAAAATTAACATTTTATTGTTTTATAGGCAACATAAATGCAGCAAACACCACAAATGCTGGATTTTGATAAGAAAATATTGAACATTAAACTGACATTTACACATCTACACCAGTTTTATATCTGGGTCTGGTCTCATTGGCCTGAAATGCCTCAGGGTTCTACGTTTGACTCTGAACAAATAAGGGTTAGAAATCCTTGAAATGCACAAAAAAAATATTTTTGGGTGAAAAATAACATTCTTAGCTGTAATTCAACCACAAATTCCAATTAAGATCATTTACATGTCAACACAGGTGCATTTAAATCCCTCAAAACACATTAATAGAAAAGGGTGGGGTGGGGCATTTATTGCCTCTCTAAAAAGAATGATGGAGTAAAAAATGTCTAGAAAGGCTGGGATATTGCTTCCTACATGAAGGAAATGCAAGAATTTAATGTTTCAAAGAAGAAAAAAATGCTTATTCTGGGTAAAATAGTGGCAAAATTGAGCCAACCCCTGTTTTGAACATTTTGTACAAACCCATCTGCTGTACATTATTAACTCAGTGTTACCAATTTTCAATTTTCTGTAGGAAAGCTGGAGCTATTTCTAAACCTGACAAACATGTAGATCCCATCTAAGTTATATTAGCAAAGAAAATATGGGCATTTTTAGACATTTTGACTCATTTTAGTAGTCATGAAAATATTAATTTCTACATCCAAATGGGGGGAATCTCAAGATTTTTTGTGAATATTCCTGATTTTTAGACAAAATTTGGTGAAATTTCAATACTGTTCATTTTATCTGTGCTTTCTGAGACTGAATAAGCCAACATTGGGCATTAGAATATTTTACTTACTGTTAAAAATTCAATAAAAATTGAAAATTGAGAAATTTGCAGTAAAATCACAATTTTTCTTCAAAACTTTGATTTTTTTTTTTTTAATTAACTTTTTTTAGTTTTTCTGTAGCCAAACTATTTTATTCATATTTTCTGAGAATTTAATCTTCATATTTTCAAAACTAAGGCATATCAGTGACAGCCTTATCACACACAGACAGGACACAGATCACTAAAGATTTCCCCATTGACTCCAATGTTAATTCTCATATCTTAGACCGGCTCTAACTTTTTCCCAAATTTTCGTTGGGTAGAACGCTTTCTACCACAGATGGAGCAACATGTGGCAACCACTTGCCCAAAAGCACGTATGAGGTTCTTCATGAAAAACTTGAGATACACAAGCTGGAATTAGAGACAAGTAAACATGCAATTTCAGGCCCTACATTTCAACGTAACCAACCTCTCAACTCTTGTATCCTTCCGCATCAAAATTATGAATATTCACCAAAACCTGGCAGAAAATGTATTTTCAAACCCTTTACCTCAATTCTACACCAAAAAGTCAACAAAAATCGCCATGCAAAAGGGGGAAAAAGGAAAAGGGAGAGGAAGACTAAAAATAGCTTTGGCCCTTGTTTCGTGGGTGACGGCGTAGGAATAATTGGTGATCTGTGTCCTATATAGGGGTGAAACTTTAGGGATCACCAAAAGGCCTTTTTTATTTCCTTCCCATGTGTTCTGGCAACATGCCGGTGAAAGAAAATCAAAATCAAAGAATAACTGTAAAAATGATGGCCCTTTAAGTACACATGCTGCTTTATGTACACTGGTGCATCTCAGGTCCATAGGCCTTTTGTGCTAAAATTTAAAAATCTTTCTTATTAAAGGCAGTATCTGAGTTCTGTGAAAAAATTAGACAAGTAACAAAGAAACTACATACAAAACACTCATAATTTGGAATTTTTTTCAAAAATATAATTTTTTACTGCCATGTGATGAAAAATGTACAAAATTTACATGTAGCATCTCTCAAAATACCAATAATTTTCCACTTTTTTAAATATCCGGACGGACAAGAAATATATTTTTAGAATCTGTGGACAATATGCAAACAGAAAAAATGCAAACCAGTTGCAATGATTGTAATATTAGAGATCTATACTGAAACATGTATGCCTACCCCCTGAACATGCCACTGATTGAATTAATCTAATCTATGGTTGCAGAACTTACACTACCAAAGGAATCTGTCTAACAGCTATGTTTTACCATCCCTGGCTAACATATGCACATATAAACTAAAATAGGTGCAATAAATATGAATTATGGTTAAAAATAGGCCTTGATGAATGAAAAAAAATGCCATATTTGGTCTATGATCACCCCTCTCTAACAGAAGGGTCACAGAATACACAATTTTCACAAATTTGGGAATATTTCAATGTTTCCAACATCTCAAACCTCAGAGGCATGTTACAAATTTGTATTGCAATCCTTGTGCTGAAGCAAGATGTCTGGAACTTTACATTAATTTCCTGAAAAAATGAAGTCAAAAAAGTAGTCATGACAGACTTGACAACATAAAAAGAGGCCTGAAAAGGAGAAAAATTAACATTTTATTGTTTTATAGGCAACATAAATGCAGCAAACACCACAAATGCTGGATTTTGATAAGAAAATATTGAACATTAAACTGACATTTACACATCTACACCAGTTTTATATCTGGGTCTGGTCTCATTGGCCTGAAATGCCTCAGGGTTCTACGTTTGACTCTGAACAAATAAGGGTTAGAAATCCTTGAAATGCACAAAAAAAATATTTTTGGGTGAAAAATAACATTCTTAGCTGTAATTCAACCACAAATTCCAATTAAGATCATTTACATGTCAACACAGGTGCATTTAAATCCCTCAAAACACATTAATAGAAAAGGGTGGGGTGGGGCATTTATTGCCTCTCTAAAAAGAATGATGGAGTAAAAAATGTCTAGAAAGGCTGGGATATTGCTTCCTACATGAAGGAAATGCAAGAATTTAATGTTTCAAAGAAGAAAAAAATGCTTATTCTGGGTAAAATAGTGGCAAAATTGAGCCAACCCCTGTTTTGAACATTTTGTACAAACCCATCTGCTGTACATTATTAACTCAGTGTTACCAATTTTCAATTTTCTGTAGGAAAGCTGGAGCTATTTCTAAACCTGACAAACATGTAGATCCCATCTAAGTTATATTAGCAAAGAAAATATGGGCATTTTTAGACCTTTTGACTCATTTTAGTAGTCATGAAAATATTAATTTCTACATCCAAATGGGGGGAATCTCAAGATTTTTTGTGAATATTCCTGATTTTTAGACAAAATTTGGTGAAATTTCAATACTGTTCATTTTATCTGTGCTTTCTGAGACTGAATAAGCCAACATTGGGCATTAGAATATTTTACTTACTGTTAAAAATTCAATAAAAATTGAAAATTGAGAAATTTGCAGTAAAATCACAATTTTTCTTCAAAACTTTGATTTTTTTTTTTTTAATTAACTTTTTTTAGTTTTTCTGTAGCCAAACTATTTTATTCATATTTTCTGAGAATTTAATCTTCATATTTTCAAAACTAAGGCATATCAGTGACAGCCTTATCACACACAGACAGGACACAGATCACTAAAGATTTCCCCATTGACTCCAATGTTAATTCTCATATCTTAGACCGGCTCTAACTTTTTCCCAAATTTTCGTTGGGTAGAACGCTTTCTACCACAGATGGAGCAACATGTGGCAACCACTTGCCCAAAAGCACGTATGAGGTTCTTCATGAAAAACTTGAGATACACAAGCTGGAAGTAGAGACAAGTAAACATGCAATTTCAGGCCCTACATTTCAACGTAACCAACCTCTCAACTCTTGTATCCTTCCGCATCAAAATTATGAATATTCACCAAAACCTGGCAGAAAATGTATTTTCAAACCCTTTTCCTCAATTCTACACCAAAAAGTCAACAAAAATCGCCATGCAAAAGGGGGAAAAAGGAAAAGGGAGAGGAAGACTAAAAATAGCTTTGGCCCTTGTTTCGTGGGTGACGGCGTAGGAATATTTGGTGATCTGTGTCCAAATGACTCAAACCATCGACTCAAACACACCAGTCTGGGAAATAGCTCTTGGAATGGCTACAGTTGCAAGGAAATGACGGATAATTTTCTTGGGGGACACCCCCCCCCCCCCCCACAGCGGCGTGCCCCGTCTCCGCGGTCAATGCCTTCATTTTGCAGTGCCCCCCCCCCCCCCTTTTCAAAATTCCTAGATCCGCCCCTGACTTCAGGGTTTTCTCCGCCTCCATACGCGCTGGAATTCGATATATGAGTAGGCCATAATGCACCTGCATGAGAGAGAGAGAGCGATCAACACAAACTAGGTCATTTCGGGACTAACATATGGTTCAATTTTATTTTATTAATTTACTGGCACATAGGGGTCTTTGGCAGTGGAAGGAAACCAGAGACCCCAGAGAAAACCCACGAGGATGGACAGGTGGCCCTACTCCTTGTCATGTACAACCGGGAAATCGAAACCACTCCAGTTGACTCAATGACAGACCTTATGATACAACGCTTTAAAGAACAGTATATTATCAAATATCATTATAAATTATTGTGATACAAGTGAAAATAATGGTGGATTTGGTTACAACTTTCAAACTTACTTGGAAATCGCATTTTGAGAGGCATTTTGACACAAAAACAATACCATTGTAAATTTAAAATGAAAATTTGGAATATACAACAGTATATTATCAGATATTGATAGAAATTATTGACTTATAAGTTGAAATAATGGTGAATTTGGGTACATCGGGCTACCTGGGCCTGGCAAGTAAATTAGTCTAGTTGATCACGGATGGGAGGAAAAACTGAGCCATGTCAGTGTGGTTTCCCCTTGTCAGTGGTGTAAAACGGAGGCCCTGATAAGGACAGCTGTCTAGTCATTCGGACCCGTGTACACATTGGCGTGCACGTCAAAGATCCCTTGGCTGTTGGAATTTGATATAAGAGTAAGCTATAGTGCTGGTGATATATGGTATAACTATTACTATCATTCTGTTTGTGAAGTTGCTGCTGACTCAGCAACTGTTTATTCTAATTTCATCATGTATATGTTTGTGAAGTTGCTGATTCAGCAACTGTTTATCATGTATCTCTTTGTGAAGTTGATGATTCAGCAACTGTTAATCATGTATCTGTTTGTGAAGTTGCTGATTCAGCAACTGTTTTTTCTAATTTAATCACATATCTATAGTAGAATGAAACCTCATAGTTTTATACAACTTTCTTAGTTAAAATTTCGTGAAACAGGGCCCTGATCTCCTCAGATATATCTTTTGGCCTTCTGGGTTCACGACTCTTTAATCTTCACCAGACTGAATTTTACGTATTATATCATTACGCTCCTCTTTTCGTAAAGCGGTAATTATCGTCTCTGACGATGCATTTTGTCTATTATTATCCAACCAGAACTGAAATGTCTGATGGATCTTTTCTCTCATATCACGATCACACTTGTCATCTATATATTCAATGTCTTCATCGGCTACTCCCAATCGACGGAATAAAAATCTCCAATTCTTTCCTAAATTCTTTGCTAAAATCGTTCTCACGTTCTGAAGTCCTGTAAAATAGAGTAATATGTGTTATGAGTATGAGAGAGTGGGAGAGAGAGAGAGAGAGAGAGTGGGAGAGAAAGAGAGAGAGAGAGAGAAAGAGAAAGGGGGTTTAACGTCCACTCGACACAAACTAGGTCATTTCGGGACTAACATATGGTTCAATTTTATTTCAATAATTCGCTTGCGCGTAGGAGTCTTTAGCAGTGGTAGGAAACCAGAGGGCCTGGAGAAAACCCACGAGGTTAGACAGGCGAACCTCCTCCTTGTCACGTTCAACTTGGGAAACAAAACCACACCAGTTGACTCAATGACAGACTTTATGATATCATTCGACCATCCAACCCCCATAAATAGAATAACAAATGACACAATTTTAAGGAATGCAAGTTACTTAGAAGTTTATTTCTGGCGACGTTTAAACGAGGGCTGTTTACTTGATGGGGCGCTGGATGGCCGAATGGTTAATGCATGCGCGTTGTATTATAAGGTCTGTCATTGAGAACACTACCTTATTTGGTCTATCAACCACATGACATAAACAGATAGAATTTGATGGATATTTTGACAATGGTAAGAATTTTACCAAATTATCACTGTTTTTTACATATACACTTGTCATTTATTAGTACGTGGGATTTGACTTTACAATTAGTTAAAGGTACAATATGATCTTAAGATCCAAAGTACTACACTAGACACATACTAGGTTATTCCGGGACTAACATATGGTTCACTTTAATTAACATCTGTATCAGTAGGCGGAAACCACAGGACCCGGAAAAAACCCAGGCGACCCTATTCCGTGTCACATACAAGCCTGAGATCAAAACCAAACCACTTGACTCAATGACAGACCTTATTAGACCGTTCAGACACCCAACCAATCTGATTAAAATACAGATCTACATTTCGTTTCGTTTTTTATACTTTCGACGGCCTCCACTACATGAAGATATGACTGGGTGTAGTGGGAGGTTGTGTCACAGCGGCTTTTGATCCGATTAACCAATCAGCGTTGATGTTTCTAGTGGGTTACCCACAGTTCCGTGCACCTCACACCAAAACCTCGCCGTAACAGATCGTTTCATTGGCTAATTCCACACACCATCCAGATCTTCCAGATCCTAGTGTAGTAAAGACAAGTAAAAATGAAATTTTGAACTATAAAAAACGAAATGAAATAGGATCTGTGTTTTAATCAGACTGTCACCCAAACCCCGACGTCTGAACAGGTAATCCAGATTGATGGTATGTTTTACCTGAACAGGTAATCCAGATTGATGGTATGGTAAATGTTTTACCTGAATTGGGAACATGTGACACAGCATCCATAGTATTTTCTCGTGAAATTCCATTTGGAGATTTTTCATATGTCTCTATAATAGTTAATAGATCTTTCCGCTCTGATAAATTTGACAACATTTGTTTAAGGTATGCCAACTTTTTGGGGCCCAAGTCTTCTCTTTGCTCCAAGATTTCAAATAGTTGTATAGCCATTGTTATCTTTTCTCTAATCTTTCCTGGAACATGTGCATAAAATATCAATACTTTTAGCTCATTTTCTTTGATCTTGGATCCAATTTCAATCAGCATTTTCTTGTAAGGATCTCCCATTGTCTGAAGATAGAAAGAACAGTTACATACCAAAACAACTGAATAATTCAATTTTACCCATAATCAGAGAGAGAGAGAGAGAGAGAGAGGAGAGAGAGAGAGAGTAGAGAGAGAGAGAGAGAGGGGGTTTAAGGTCCACTGGACACAAACTAGATTAGTTCGGTAACATATGGTTGAATTTGATTTCAGTAATTTCCTTGTGTGTAGGGATCTTTAGCAGTGGGAGGAAACCAGAAGACCCTGAGAAAACCAACGAAGTTGGACAGGCAACCCTACTCCTTGATGGAATGACAGACCTTCATGTGCACATGTTTGACCACCCAACTCCCACATGTACAAGGCCAGGGAGGAGAATTTGGGCCAGGCATTGGCATTTCCACTTATTCTTCATCAAATCCAAATATCAAGGGATGCTGTACTTGAATGTCAATATGTACACGGGCAGACCTTGTTTTTTCACACTCTCCCAAGAACTAGACACATTTTAGCTCTTACATTTTCAAAATACAATACTTACCGTTGTATACTGTATATATGATTTATCTTTATTTTTTGGCTTTGGTTATGTAGCCTTTTTGTAGAGTGCTTAGATTTTGGTTAATACTATTTTTTATTAGACTCCTCGTGTAATCTTTTTCCTGAATAAGAAATATAAAATACAATTCAGCAATATATTTTTGGGCAGGTTGGGTGGCCGAATAGTTAACGCGTGCGTGTTTGATCGTAAGGTCTGTTATTGGGTCGATATGAATTATTGTGATATGAGTTATAATAATCGCCGATTTGGTTACAACTTCCGAACTTGCTTGGAAATCGTATTTTAGGGGGCGTTTAATTGACACCAAAACGTTACGATTTTAAATTTTAAAAAATGACAATTTGTCATAAAGAACGGTATATTATCAAATATCAATATAAATTATTGTCTTGTAAGTTGAAATACATGTAAGGGTAGATTTGGGTGAATCATGTTACCCTAGTTTAACTGCTTGTCATTTGTATTGTACAAGTGCAATTCTTGTGTATTTTCTGGAATTCTTGCGGTTGAATAAATGAAGACAGGCCTTTTGTTGGTTGTTAATATTACTATATGCTTTGGTTAACATAACTTACAGAAGACAATTAATATAACAATTATTGGTTCAATGCTTAATAGTAAATAAGCTCCAATGTGGATATGGGAATTGACATAAACTTGTGTCTCCAAATATCCAGCTACAGGTAAATCAAGTCTGTCCTTGGAGATGTGAATGTGATCTGAAGTTGATCTCCTTGTGACAGGTTTCTAGAAGGCTTAACCCTCTAATTCTGTTATTTGGGTCTATATATCCCCACGCATCTCCTACGGCATTAATCCTACAAATCTATCGTCTATACAAACAATACACCATGGTAACTTAAAATGCTTTAGTCCAATAATTACAATTTATAAGGTCAATTTAAAGTGTAAAACAAAAAATACTGGAGACCGGTAATTAAAGAAATATATAAGACAATATTAAATAGATATAAATGGGGGGTAATTGTGGATTAATTAAGATCCATTAAAATATAGTTTACTGAATTAATACTGTGCGGATTAGCACGACGTATTGCATTTACTATCGGGTCGTAATTCACCTCACTACAATTGCACGATGTATTAAACATTTACTATCGGGTCGTAATTCACCCTACAACAGTATATGATGTTGACAATTTACACTATTATTAGCCAGAGAGAGAGAAATGGGGTTTAACGTCCACTCGACACAAACTAGGTCATTTCGGGACTAAATGGTTTAATTTTACTTCAATAATTCGCTTGCGCGTAGGGGTCTTCAGCAGTGGGAGGAAACCGGAGGACCCGGAGAAAACCCATGAGGTTGGACAAGCGACCCTAATCCTTGTCACATACAACCGGGGATTCGAAACCACGACAGTTGACTCAATGACAGGCCTTATGATACAGCATGCATGTACTAACCATTTGGCCATCCCCCCCTATTAGCCAGAGAACTGTCCTGGTGAAATTTGAAGTATTTAGGCCTACATCCTCTTCTTATTTTAATTTAAAAAAGTCAAACTCACAAAATGACTGGGGAGATGGCAAATATTTCCTTTCTCCAGGTAGTCTAGTGTTGTGAAATTTACCTAGAATCGGACTTCACTGAATACCAGGAATTTCGTTTTGGGTTTTTTCGTGATCTATTTTTAGAAGTGGATTGACGTTTGGAATAGAGACGACATAAATTGCATGCAATTAGAACACGATTGATTTTCGACATGTCTGTTTCATTTATTCAATATTTCGTATCATGCAACATAAATAAATCATGGGTTGATATAGTTTACCTCCTTGAACTTATTTTCTTCATTAAAATAAGTGAATTGCTATCCGAAGTCCAAAACCGATCCGCAAAAGAATTAAACACAAAGTCGCCCGAGTTATCTTCCCCTGGAAAAAGATAATTTTACCGATTTCATCAGTTAGAATTTGTAAAATGAAGTGTTTACTTGTTTTTCTATCAATAACCGTGTGTTTGGTTGACCATGGTTACAGTAATAAGTATAGCGAGGAGTCAAATAAGAATTGGCACGAGGAAGAAATACGACCATTCAGAATGAACAAGATAAACCTGCTGTGGGAGAAAGCAAAAAAGGTGGGCGTATCCCCAGGGTAGTTTTAATAGCGACAGTAGGCCATAGAGCATAGAAATGGTTCCACTACTAATGTCTTCCGTCTTGCGCCAGCCACAGTAGTGGACCGTCCTAAGGCCTTCCTTTGAGCAAGTTTTGTAGTCAACTGACTACAAAACAGTTACTGGCCTATAACTCCCTTAATTTCCTGACTCCATAGCCTACTCAGTAGTGTAATATCTAAATCTACTGCCAGGAATAAGGCAGGGTTCTTGCACAGTAGATCTGAATAAACGTGTGTGTATCTTAAAATTCCTTAATTATTATTTTAACTAATAAATGTCTCCACAGAAACAGTCTTATTTAGCTTCAAAGATTGCAACAGCTACCGTCACATCCACCATTTACCACAAATACTGCATGAAAAGTCCCCTCGACGTGATGTAATCCACAGAATACAACAATATTATCAAGTTCAATGAGTCCTTTTAATTACCATCAATACAATAATTTATAGTCAACAAATGGTTGTACTGCATACAAGCGTACATACAAAGTGGAGCGAAGTAGGTAGACGAAAGTTATGTTATATGGTACGTCACTGAAAACAAAATGAAGTACGATATAACAACTATAATGTATAATAAACTACTATACATAACATTAAACATTTAAAATGATTTATGGTTGATTGACAATAATTAACTTATGTTCATAAAAAATGACGATAAAATAAATCGTGGCACAGTCACTTTAAACTTAGACTAGTGTAGTGCCGTACTAGGCAAATGCGAATGACATTTTGAACAATATAATAAACATAAAAACATCGTTACTTTGAGTCATAGATCCGCTATAGTATTAGGCTAAGTCTTACCATATGATGCCGAATTAAAATCAGTTTTATTTTATTTCCCGAAGGTGAAATAAAGTTGCCTCATGCAGGGAATTTTCTCACACACGTGAATTCTAGAAGTTTTATCCAAGACATCCGTTTTAGTCAGCTGATCGCTAGCGCGGTCGCTGATTGGATAAAAGACCGATGACTCATGTACACAATATAACTACAATTAAAGTGACAAAGTTAAAGGGACATGTACATGAAATAAAGTTATTGAAAACGAGTCGGTTTATTTATTTGCCGACCACAACGTGATGTTTGTACAACAGTGGGTTTATCTGTTGTTTTAGTTTTATCAACCGCAACGCGGTTACAATATCTTAATTTAATTTTAAAATAAGAGTAGGCTAGGCCTAAACTGAAGCACCTAGATTTCCAACCTCATAGTCCACTGCATGCATATTCCCATCTTTATTAGCCCAGCTAGTTCCGGAAAGTAGGATGTTAAACCCCAATTCCTTTCATTATAGATTTAGTGAATGTTTCATTATTATTAAATGTTTTAGAAGCTGGAAGGAAACAGATTAGCAGATCTTTATGCTGATTTAAAATTACACGATAAATTGGAAGGAAAATTAAAGAAATTGAAATCAGATGATATGGATAAAGATGGTCTTCAAGAAGCTGATGTTCTCGTCCGATTTAGAAGTAATGATTTTGATAATTTTTCTCCGCTATAAGATCACCCTAATTTGATGGTTTGTTCTTCAGGATGACCTGTTTAAATTTTGCTTATTTCTTTGTTCGATCCCTGCATTGGCCGAGAATTAAGTTCATCGGGATTTTCCGGCGTGGTTTCCGGCTGTCTAGTCGTGCGCGTAAAAGATCCCTTGGCCATTGGAATTTGATACAAGAGTAGGCCATAGTGCCGCTGCCTGGGTAAAATTTCCCTCATAGCACACTTTATGGTGTATGTACGTCTTCATTAGCCCAGTAGGAGCAGAACAATAGTATATCAAACCCCATTTCATTTCATTTATTATTTCTTCAGCAAAAAGAGAGAGAGAGAGAGAAATAGGGTTTAACATCTACTCGACACAAGCTAGGTCATTTTGGGACTAACATATGATTTAATTTTATTTCAATAATTCGCTCGCGCGTAGGGGTCTTTAGCAGTGGGAGGAAACCGGAGGACCCGGAGAAAACCCACGAGGTTGAACAGGCGACCCTACTCCTTGTCATGTACAACCGGGGATTCGAAACCACGCCAGTTGACTCAATGACAGGCTTTATAATAAAGCGCGCGCACGCTAACCATTCGGCCGTCCATCCCCTCATTCAGCAAAAAGACTAATTTTAAAACCAAAAGTTCTTGTTTGCACTAAATCTGATTAAAATACCGGGCCCTTATTCACGAAAACTTAAACTAAGATACAATCGAAATTTTAAGAAATACTGCAATTCGATTGGCTGACCAATATGCAAATTGGATATATGCAAATTGATTTTATTGGTCATCCAATCGAATTGCAGTATTTCTTAAAATTTCGATTGTATCTTACATGTAGTTTAAGTTTTCGTGAATAAGGGCCCAGATCTATATTTTGTTTCGTTTATTTATACTTTTGATGGTCTACACCCTACTATAGTGAAGACAAGTAAAACTACACTAGGATCTGGAAGAGTTATTTTATAACCTTCATTCTGGTTGATGTGAGGGATTAGCCAATGAAATGATCTATTGCAGCGAGCACTTGGCATGCGATGCACGGAACTGTCGGTATCCTCACTGATTAGTTAATCAATTGTCTGACATCATAGATTCAAAAGCCACTTGTATGACCTCTGATGCAACCTTCCACTACAACCGGTCAGATCTTCATATAGTAGAGGCCAACGAAATATAGATCAGATTGCCTGTGACCAAACAGTTATGTGTTTTATGCCACTTGTATAATATATAACATTACCAGGCCTGACAAAGCCTGACATTGTGTGTGACAGGTCCCTTATTTCCAGGCTTGAGTCCATTCCTTTTTTAGATACAAAAAAAGCGTTTCTTGAAACTACTCTTAGAGAAATACATGTAATGGTATATAAAAAAATTACATTAAAAAAAGAAATAAACACATTTTTTTTGTTAATATTTTCAAATCTTCAGGCCATATTAATATCATATATATATTTATTGTTTTTTTTCTAGATATAGTCTTTAAATATAGCTTACAAGATTTTTTCCCCGTTGAGGATCCTGCTTGGTTAAATGATGTTCCTACTAATGACAAATCATGGCCATTTTTCTCAGACAAAAAGTTAGAAAAAATATGGAAAGCAGCATCGCTTTCTGACTTTTCAGGTGAGTGAACAATGTGAAATCTTTTATCGGCAATGGGAAATATGATGTAAGTTTTGTATATTGGAGGTGGAAGTGGGTGTCCGAATGGTTAGCACGTCCATGCTGTATCATATGGTCTGTCATTGAGTCAACTGGTGTGGTTTCGATTCCCTGGTTGTACGTGACAAGGAGTAGAGTCGCCTATCCAACCTCGTGGGTTTTCTTCTGGGACCTCCAGTTTCTTCCCACTGCTAAAGACCCCTACACGCAAGCGAACTATTGAAATAAAATTGAACCATGTGTTAGTCCCGAAATAACCTAGTTTGTGTGTCTCTCTCTGTGTATATTGGAGACAAACAAGAGGGATTTTTTTATGGTCTATGTCTGATGCGAGACTCAGGTGTCACATCCTTGTAATGAAATGGGCTTAACCGTTAAACGACATGCTATGATTATGAATGAAATTTTGACGGCTTGCTCTTCATCAAGCTCGGTTTTATTTATCTGTACGCCGAGTAGATAGATATCATGCTCATAGCACACTGCAGGTTTTTTATTATTTACTGTTGTATTTGAAATCGAAATAAAGAGTAGCCAAAAGTTCGCTCATAACACACTGCAGGGAGTTTTATTTGGAAGATGATTGAACATAATGCACAGGTATCAACACTCAGCAAACCTCAGCAGATTCCAGTACCCTAGCTCTAGCCTCGGTAAATTCCGGGATTACCAGTGGCGTTGCCCATGACAACGCCTTTGAAGAATGTTTTATCATACAAATATTTCAAAGTCTGAAGCTGTTTTACTTTCAAGTTTATCCGATTTTTTTCAAACAAGGACAACTTTGCACTGAAAATTCTACACACTCTGCGAACGACGCAATTTTGAGAACTTAGTTTTAGAAGCGGCAAGTTTTCCAGCAAGTGGCGCATCACAATTGTATAGGCGTAGGTACATATGACTTACCGTCATACAGCTGAGGCTAGATGTAGAGTAACGAAATCTGCCGAGGTTTGCCGAGTGAAGTTTTTATTGTTGTATAAAGGGAAATAACTCAGATGTCGGTCATTGTTTTTTAGAGGATGAACTGGATAAATTACGTGACGAATTTAGACATCAACAGATGAAAATTGATGAATTGAATGCCCTAAAAGATCAAGTTGAAGGTACGGTAAATATTTGTTATATGCCCACATTGAAAAGTTGTTGTATCTGGTCATCACTGTGTCCGTTGGTTGGTTGGTCCGACACCCACAATTGCTTGGGGTGGGTTGGCTGATCATAAGGTCTTTAATTCAGTCAAGTGTCGGGATTTCGATTCCCCACATGTACATGACAAGGATTAATGTCGCCTATCCAACCTCATGGGTTTTCACTGGGTCCTCTGGTTTCCTCCTGCTGTTAAAGATCACTACGCTCAAGTGAATTGTTGAATTAAAATTTAACCATGTGTTAGTCCCCAAATGACCTAGTTTGTGTCGAGTGGGCGATCAACGATATTTCTCTCTCTCTCATGAGCGGTTTGTTGTCGCTCGATGGATTTGTTGTTCTGGATGGTCCAGGTTGCTAAAGAGTTAACTTAATTAACCATATTTATATAATTTCAGATATTAACGACAATACAATCCATAATAATAAAAATGGTGGGAATGATTTCCCTTCAGCAAGCGATAAGAAGACTGCGATGAAAGATACTAATCGTGCCATTAAGGAGGGTTATATACGATTACAGAATATGATGGAGAAAACTAAAGATGGGGTGGACTTTAAAGATCCACGTGTATACCAGCTGTGGGCCCTCGTTAAAAAAGCCAATTTATCTCAAGAAGAGATGGAATCTTTTAGGGTATGTTCTTTCAGTTTTCTATTGGGGGTGTTGCATAGTCGAATGGTTAGCACGTGGGTGCTGTATCATTAGGTCTGTCATTGAATCAACTGGTGTGGTTTCGATTCCCAGGTTGTACGTTTCCTCCCACTGCTAAAGACCCCTACGCGGAAGCGAATGGTAGGAAAAAAAATGGAACTAGTCCCGAAATGACCTAGTCTGTGTCGAGTGGACGTTAAACCATTTCTCTCTCTATAGCCATTCCTTGTAAGTATGAGAGTCACGGTGGCTCAGTGAGTAAGATGCTGCCTTGCTAGCCTGAAGGTTGTGAAAGTTCAATCCTGGTCTTGGCGAAGAAGCTTTGTGATTTTACAGCGTGGTTTCTCCTTGCCAGTGGTGCAGGATGGAGAGCCTGACAAGGACAGCTGTCTTGTCATTCGGATGGGATGAAAAGCCAGGGTCCCGTGTACATATTGTTGTGTACGTAAAAAGATTCCTTGGCAGTTAGAATTCAATGTAAGAGTAGGGTATAGCGCAAGCGTATTATTGAAATAAAATTGAACTATATATTAGTCCTGAAATGTCGAGTGGACGCTAAACCCCATCTCATTTCATTTCGATTATGTTAAAATTATGGTGGCCCAATGGTTAATACGGGCACGTTACATCATAAGGTCTGTCATTGAGTTAAGTGGCGAGGTTGTGATTCCCCACTTGTACGTGACAAGGACATTGCAATAAAATTGAACCATATGTTAGTCCCGAAATGACCTAGATTGTGTCTTAAACCCTCTCTGTCTCTCTCTGTCTCTCTCTCTACATGGGTCCTTACAGTATGTATTTTGTATTTCGTAGGAAGAATTACGTCATTTTGAACATCGGATAGAAAAACATGAATATATGCAAGGTCAAGTTGAACTGTCTAAGTTAGGTTTAGAAGACGAAGTTAAAGATGGCCGATATCCACAAAAACATCTCGACTTAGAAGAAAAGGCGAAACAATATAAACATAAGGTAAATAGTTTCAAGTATTATTTTCATGCACCAGTTCTATGAGGGCCTGCTCTAATACAGTCTGATTAAGATACAGATCTATATTTCGTTTCGTTTTTTATACTTTCGATTAACCAATCAGCGTCGATGTTTCTAGTGGGTTACCCACAACAGACTGTTTCATTGGCTAATCCCTCACATCATCCACAACGCTGGTTATAAAACAACTCTTCCAGATCCTAGTGTAGTAATAACAAGTTAAACAAATTTTTGAACGAAACGAAACGAAATAGGATCTGTATTTTAATCCAATTGACTCCAATATGAGACAAAGAGAATGAAATGAAATGGGGTTAAACATCTTAATTTCCTGCATCAGTTGTTGTAATGAAAATGGAAATACGCCATTCAGTACGTTATGAGGGAAATTTTGCCCAGATTGTGGCGTGTATAGTTTTTCAGGTATTTCAGGGTATTACAACAACTCCATGGGAACCCAACATGATTAATTCTGAGTTACGATATTTTCATGCATATTTTAGGAACCAATTGGTATACGAGAAACAGGGATAGGTTTTTCACCCGAATATGTGTTAGGAAATAATTAGGAAATTTGAGTTTAAATTTTCTTCTTTCAATAATTCATTCAGAATTTCAACTTGTTATATGTATAGGTTTTTAGCGAATACGTATTTAGATTTCAAAAAAGTAAAAAATCTGCCTTGTTTATCAATAATTTATTTTTATTTTTTGATTTATTTTCAGATGAAGAAACTCCATATTGATTTACAGAATCGTGTGAATAAAGTAATCCAGCGACACACAGAATTATAACCCAATCAGAATTAAAGTCATCCAGACATTAGCCCCAAAATTATAACACTTCCATTATTAAAATGATCCAGAGATTGACTCCAAAATTAGAACACTTCCATCATGAAAATGATCTAGACATTGGCCCCGAAACTAGAACACTTGGCGTGAGGTGCACAGAACTGTGGGTTACCCACTAGAAACATCAACGCTGATTGGTTAATCAAATGCCTGATATCATAGGGTCAAAAGCCGTTCTTATTACCTCTGATCTTCATGTAGTGTAGGTCATTGAAAGTATAAAAAAAACAAAATGAAACATAGATCTGTATTTTAATCAGATTGTTGTACGAAAAAATGATAAAAAAAATTATTTGTCAATGCTTTGGAACACCATTGCTGTGGCCTTATCCATACCTGTATTAATGAATATTTTTAATGTTTGTTTGTGTGTATAAAAGTTTGTGTTTTTTTTATTTTTCATGTATATGATTAATTAGGGTGAAAGTTTGTTTTATTGCATGATATTTATATTAACAAATGTATGTGAAATTATTGGTGGTTTATCTATACTAATATTTGTGACTGTCGTTTTTTTGTCTGTCTGTCTGTCTGTCTGTTCAGGGTTGGTGGCTACACTAGGGTTGACCTGAGGCTAAGGGGTGTAACATGGCTTGATAGGAGACGGTCCTGCACATTTTAGCACATATGATGTCATATTTGGATTGTGGGTTGGGGTTAGGGTTAGGACAGGCAGATTTCGTCAAAGTCTCAAGATGTTAACAGGGCTAACCCTGGACCAAGCCTAACCGTTACCCTAACTCTAACCTGGGATCCACATATGACATTAGATGTGCAGGACCTTCTCCGATCTAGCGTTCTGTGTTTGCGCGGGGTGGGGGAGGGGGTGGGGGCGAATGGTCAGCGTTTGTGCACTGTATCATAAGGTTTGTCATTGATTCAACTTGCGTGGTTTCGATTCCCCGGTTGTACTTGACAAGGAGTAGGGTCGTTTGTCCAACCTCGTGGGTTTTCTCCGGATCCTCTGGTTTCCTCCCACAGCTAATTATTGAATTAAAATTGAACCATATGTTAGTCCCAAAATGACCTAGTTTGTGCAAGTGGACCTTAAACCCTATTTCTCTCCCTCTCTCTCCGGCTTGGTAGCAATTCCGGTTTCGAAGTTATGCTACCCCCGGTTCCTGTCTTTACTCGTGCTAACCCAGGTCAACTGCTAGTATTATATTATTTGTCTGAGTGGTTTCATATATTAAAGATACATTATGGGAGATTAGATAAAGAGCTGGTAGTTCTCACTACTAGATACTATAAAGGGAATTTGCTGAAAATTTAAGTCAAATTGTTCCACTATGAACCGAGATTTTAGCGATTGAATTTTCGGCCTAGCCTCGATCATCATTACTAAAGTCGGTAGAATAAAAAACATAGTCTTGGTTATCCATTTCATGATTAAATTATGAATGGAACCTAATCCAATAAACATCGCAGGCTAGCGATGCCATCGAGAGTTGATTATGGTCTGGATAAGTTAATTAATGTCTAATTAATAATTTATATAACATTTCAGGCCTAAAGAAAGACATGTAATAGACAGATTTAGCTCTTGTATAATGTATGTTTAACTGAAAGTGTCTAGTCATGTATTGGTTGACAGAAGGCCTCTATCTAGGCATTATTTCTCTCGTAGCACACTGTAATACAGTAGCCTACTTTAGATGATTGTAAATTATTTTAAAATTGTAATCTCATGTTATATAGATCTAGATATTTATATGTTTTATAAAATATACATTCCTGATAAAACTAATGGGTTTCTTGTATTTTGTAACGATGTTGAAATGATTTTCAAATGTTTGTTAAATGGGCATTAGCCTGGATCATCATTACTAAAGTCGGCAAGATGAAAAAAAACAAAGTCTTGATTATCCATTTTGACCTTAAATCATCCATGATAAAATGTATTCAAATCCAGTAAATATCGCAGGCTAGCAATGGCATCGAGAGTTGATTATGGTCTGAATAAGTTTAGATAACATTTCAGGCCTAAAGAAAGCCATACAGTAGGCGGATTTAGCTCTTGCATAATGTATGTTCAAATGAAGGTTAACTATAATTATATATTCTTTATACAGTTATCAGACCCACGTAATGTCTACCATTCATGGAGTCTATGGGCCCAAGAATATCAAAGTTCAAGATTGAAATCGGCAATTATGCATAATTTTTTTTATTGTTCCTTTGAAGCTTATATAAGTATATACAAAAGTTTTCGCTTTCTGGCAATCTGCTAGTGAATCATCTAGATTTGGAAAGGAGAGGGAGGGGGACAATAAAGGTCTCCCCCCCCCCCCCAGCACATGTTTTTCCTCTCAAGGGCCCCTGTTACAGAAAACACATTCAAAACAAGTTTTGCTGAAATTGTTCAAGGATTCCAAGTATTTTACTCTACTACATAGGCCTTGATAGCTTAAATTATATCAAGTATCGGAGAGTTTTTCCTGATATTTCGTCTCGTAAATATACAGAAAGCGTCCAAATATAACCTTATTTGACTTTGCAATTCAGAAAGATTTGTAGGGAAGAAGGGCTGAAAAATAATGACCAAGACAGTTTCCTCGGAGGTATGGTTTTGCCGCCGAAAGGCCACTCCATGCCCAATCACCGGAAATTTAACTTCCCGAGAAACTGGTGAATGAAAAAATGCCACACTAGACACTGTTTATTATTACACTGATTTTAAATATTTTAATTTACGTGCAATTTGCAATGTCAGAAATATGTCGTAGTTATAGACGTTTTTATCGAATTGCTAAGTCGATTTACATTTGGTGGAGATGACATGTGACAGGCAGTATGATCGATTTCATTTAGCCTACTTTGATGAGTTCGTTAAATGCGCCGATAAGCTGTAAACAATTCTTGTGGCTGGACGTAGTTGAAAAACAATCGGTTGCCATGCAAGATACGCCCATATTTTGCAAGAGATGGACAGAGCTAGAACGAGCTAAAAAGTTTCATTGTGACCTCTATAGTGTCCACAAGCTAAAAATGTGATTTTTCGTACAATCAGCAGTGAAGTTTAGATCCGATACATGCCAATATCGAACGGAACCGAGATCTTTTGGAGATATTTCAAGTTTCATCAAAATCGGATAAGAATTGTTACTTGTAGATTGTCCGAACGGACAGAGCCGGCGACAATATACATCCACGTGAAAATGTGGGCTTATAAAAACATGTGATTACCCGATCAAATCGGTGATTTGTGGTAATCGCTTCGGGAATTGGTGTCGATAAATTTGTTGATCAGAAGAATCAATGATTTAAATGGACATTAAAGATGAAAATTTGATTGAAGGCAAATCACTTTGACTAAAGACCCCTACCCACGAGCGAATTATTGAAATATAGTTGAAACACATTTTAGTCCCGAAATGATCTAGTTTGTGTCGAGTGAACGTTAAACTCTCTCTCTCTCTCTCTCCGGTTGGGGTTTTATCTTAGTGCACACTACTAGATTAATAATATATTATTATCTTAACGTTGTGTAGCCGCTAGATAGAAATAGTTTTATCCGTAGAATTATATGTTTTACTGTATGCATACGTGAAGATATTAGCGGTGCTCACTACAAGATATATTATTATCTCGACGTTAGATATAGCCGCTAGTACAGAAATAATTTCATCAGCTTGCTTAGAAACACAATTCCGCTTCGTGGTCCTCCCTAATAAGCAAAATATATATGTTTGGAAAGCTTTTAACGGTTTATTAGGGAGGACCGTGTAGCGGAACTTCACGCTAGAAATTTTGGCTGCAGGCCTATATCAGATCAATAATTGATTTGTACCAAGAATATCACCTTTCACATCTACTCGTACAAAAAGTAATAAAAACGTTCTTTTTAACTTAACATTTTCAACGGGTTGACTTTTTCATTAAGAAGACATTTTTTTGTAAATATTTAATGAACAGAATAAACATTCAAGGTATTTTATTATATCACCTTTCACATTTACTCGTACAAAAGCAATAAAAACGTTTCTTTTAACATTTTTAACGGGTTGACTTTTTCATTTGGAAGACTTTTTTGTAAATATTTAATGAATAGAATAGATATTCGTCGTTTCTCAGACACATCAATATGTAAACGCTGTGGTCCAAAATGTCTATAGATTCATGGCTAAACCCATTTCATTGTATAGATCTCAATGCAGTAACTAATAAACGGCTTCCGACTCTTGTAAGAAATATTAAAAATAACATACAATTGAATAACTAAATATTGGCCGGTAATAATAGGAACCTAACAACTACACGCACAAGATATTTGGCTGAATGGTAAAATATACGAAGAATTATCGTAAAGCTCATTCATACCCAGTTTTCTCAGCCTATCCGAAGATTTCTTACAATTTTTCGAACCTTTTTATAGACCCACCAAAATCGATTATCACGCCATTGGCCCATATTATGTGTTTTTGAATATTGGTGGCTATCTTATGGCGTTTATTTGATACGTATGAACCGCTTTGTGTTGTATACACGTGTATTTTATCTATGTATTGTATACACGTGTATTTTATCTATGTGTTGTATACACGTGTATTTTATCTGTGTGTTGTATACACGTGTATTTTATCAGTGTTGTATATACGTGTATTTTATCTATGTGTTGTATACACGTGTATTTTATCTATGTGTTGTATACACGTGTATTTTATCTGTGTGTTTTACACACGTGTATTTTATCTATGTGTTGTATACAAGTGTATTTTATCTATGTGTTGTATACACGTGTATTTTATCTGTGTGTTGTATACACGTGTATTTTATCAGTGTTGTATACACGTGTATTTTATCTATGTGTTGTATACACGTGTATTTTATCTGTGTGTTGTATACACGTGTATTTTATCAGTGTTGTATACACGTGTATTTTATCAGTGTTGTATATACGTGTATTTTATCAGTGTTGTATACACGTGTATTTTATCAGTGTTGTATATAAATGTATTTTATCAGTGTTGTATATACGTGTATTTTATCAGTGTTATATATACGTGTATTTTATCTATGTGTTGTATACACGTGTATTTTATCTATGTGTTGTATACACGTGTATTTTATCTATGTGTTGTATATACGTGTATTTTATCTATGTGTTGTGTACACGTGTATTTTATCTGTGTGTTTTACACACGTGTATTTTATCTATGTGTTGTATACACGTGTATTTTATCTATGTGTTGTATACACGTGTATTTTATCTGTGTGTTGTATACACGTGTATTTTATCTATGTGTTGTATACACGTGTATTTTATCTATGTGTTGTATACACGTGTATTTTACATAATTATTTTAATAAATGTATTATGTGTATTTTGTCTAAATGTACTTGTAAATGCATGCGTGCTGCCTGTAATGAAGTAAACATCTGATATTATTTTTTATAAGAAAAACGGGAAAAGCTAAGAAAAACAACTTTATAATTGTTAAAAACATTCGTTACTGATTATAACCTCGCGATTACGTTCTTTTTGACGGCTATATTATGAATATTGATTATCGATTTCGGGGACACTATACAAAATGGTTGACGAAGTTTGTAGTTGTACCGTTCTGGGTGATTTTAGAACCTGTCAGTGACGTCACAATAAAACAACATCGGTTGACATACTTCAGAAATATAGCTTCCATCTGTATTTTTGTGTAGATTAATTGTGTCCATGAAGCGGTTGTTGAGGAAGTTGGATTAAAGACCTATTGAGTCCCGGTATAAAAACATGCCGAGAAGGTAATTGTGATGTTGTTATTAAGTTTAACGTCCTACTTTTCTCCACTAACAGAAATAATGAAGACCATCATACACGGGGTATGAAGAACACTTGGTCGGACAGCGACACTGTGGCCTACTCGTATTTCGAATTCAAACTGTCAAGAGTTCTATTACGTGTGCACACCAACGTGTACGCGGTACCTTTGATTTTTGTACCTTCCGAACGGCTAGACGCCCTTCATTGCTCAGTCCGCATTCCTACACCACTGGCAACGGAGCCGCGTTGGGTCGTTGAGTAAGACTCCAGCTTGCTAACCTTGATATCCCATCATCGATCCCGGTGTTGGCCCAGTAAGTTTCTTGTGATTTTTCTGCCAAGGAGACGCGTGATTCGTTCGGATTTGACAAAAACCCTAGGTCTCATTCACACATTGGCGTGCACGTAAAAGAACCATAGGCAGTTTGTTAAGCTAGGGGTTTCGTGAAATACCTGTAATCCCTAAAATATTCAGAGGTTTAATGCAATCCTTAAGATATTTAGAGGTTTCAGTAACAAACACAATATTATTCTCCAGGAATGTTTTCATTAAATTACCGGAGAAAAATGGGCGTGTGTTTTGGATAAGGAATCGAATCGGGGAAATAATCTTAGCATTGATGATTAGAAATAGAGGAACATTGGCTCACGGAAATAGAATATGGCTTACGTCGAATGAAACGCGTACCGGTACATATAGTTGTCTGAATCCATACATGTTGAAATGAGTTATGCCCCCTTTGTTGTCTTGATTGTCAAAACGTCACTTAATACGTCAGTGATAAATATATATAAATGCACTGGATTGGGAATACCCAAATGAAAGAAGTGTGTTATTTATTGTAGCCTACTGAAGAAAGAATGAAAAAACACAGAAACAAGTGAATATAATAATAAGTTTTTGGCTGACAGACTGAATCACAAAGATGAACATGTGTGACAGTATCTCCTCTAAAATCGGACAATTCCGAAAGGCTAATTGTGAAAGTGGGTAAGAATACGAGATTTATATTGTGTCCTCGATCTGCCGGTGTATATAATATTTAATAAGGAACATGAAACTAATTAGTAGTAGTTGTATTGGAGATTTCTGGTCTCCATGTTGGCCATGCTTGTAATTCCCGGAGATAATATAATAGAGTAACATCTAATTTGTTTGATTCTGTAATGTCCTATTCTATACTAATACTAATAGAGTGTTATAGGCTAACAATAGTAACCCATTCTTATACCTCATTAATATTCATTAGTTCCACCAATTCCTTATATATAAGTATGTTACTATATAAGAGCCGACATCAATAAAGCGGACGTAAAATACAACTAACTCATCATAAAGCTTAGCAGATTATATTATAATAGCAGGCGTGCCTTTGTCTTATTTTATATAGAAGCTATTACAGATTCCTAGAAATGGTACCAGTACCACTTCTCTTGTCTGAAGATGGGGTTTGAAGCTACACATATATCTGCAATTTCTTGAATTAAAAAAAAAAACAACCATATCATATTTTTCTTGAAAACAGCAATTTATTTTTGTCATTTATTCATTTTTCTCAATATAAGGTACCGGTATAATATTCCCGCCTGATACCACTTACGGCTAGCCCCTGGATCCATTCATTTAATCTGATATATCTGTCTGTGATTTCTGTACATGACAAGCAGTATAGGGTCAGCTGTCTAATCTCGTGGGTTTTCTTCAGGACCTCCGGTTTCCTCCCGCTGTTAAAGACCCCTACGCGCAAGCAAATTATTGAAATAAAATTGAACCGTGTGTTTTAGTCCCAAAACCGGAGGACCCAGAGATAACCCTCAAGGTTGGAACGGCGACCCTACTCCTTTTCACATACAAGCAGGGAATCAAAACCACGCTACTTGATTCAATGACAGACCTTATGATCTAATCCGCACCAACCAACCAACCAATACTTTAATTGAGAATCTTTTACATGTTTTTATTACAGGTTAATGAACAAACGTGCTGCTCCTGGTCAGGCATATGTACCAACGGATGTAGAACACGTAGCTAATGTAGTCACACATGGGGTAATATATTATTTTTACTGGTATATTATTTTTTTAATCTTAGGCCTCCCAACTATCGTGCGATGCATTACGATAGGATTGTCCCTATTGAGTCCTCGATCTGGTTTGTACAGAAACGTTCGGATACATTTCAATACAATATATGATAAGACCTGATAGGATCACCACGATTACTCCACAATTAGAACCACGATCTGGTACATGCAGATATGTCCAGATACGATCCACACGATTGCCACGACTGACCTCAATATATGATACGACCTGTTAGGATTCCCCTTGATTAAATCCACGATTTCAATCGCAGCTCGAATCATGATAGTGGCCACCTAGCATAAAGTAATGATAATCTAAATTTTATTCACAGGCACCTGTCACAGACATTGTCAAGTTCAGATTATCACATAACGTACATATTATAATATAAATGTTCTGTGATAATTTGTGACTGACAAAGTCTGTAAGTAACAGATGCCTATAATATCATTAATAGTTTTTATTTATTGTCTGATGTGTAATGGGGGGGTTCGATGGCCGAATGGTTAGCTTGTGCGTTCTGTATCATAAGGTCTGTTCTTGTGTCAACTGGCGTGATTTTGATTCCCCAGTTGTATATGACAAGGAGTAGGGTCGTCTGTCCAACCTCGTGGGTTTTCTCTGGGTCCTCCGGTTTCCTCCCATTGCTAAAATTGAACCATATTTTAGTCCCAAAATGACCTAGTTTGTGTCGAGTGGACGTTAAATCCTATTTCTCTCTCTCTCTCGTCGTCTGTGTTGAAGCCAAACACTCACAGAACATTTTTTTTCCACGCAGCACCAATCAGCAGTCACATTTTGAAATCACCTGATTTTATGTGGTAGTAGCAATTACGTACGTTAATGTACATGTGTATGCATCTTTGAGCAGTTCTCTATTGTTCGAGCTAAAATATTCTTTCGTTTGTGGGACTATGTTCGTTGTCTGAGGTGATTTTATGTGGCACTAGACCTATTGTTTCGAACTTAAACATTAGTTCGTCTGCTTTGCCATGTTCGTGGTCTAAAATATTTGTTTAGTGTTTTTGTTCGTCGACATAAATGTTCGATCGTAGGCTTTACATATTTGTTAAATTTGAAACCGTGTTTCTATTGATATATTGTTATATATTATATTATATTATAGATATGGATATTACCCAGTTTAATCTGTGATATATTATAGGTATAGGTATTACCTAGTTTAATCTGTGGTATATTATATTATAGGTATGGGTATTACCCAGTTTAATCTGTGGTATATGGATGTTATATCTGGCGAGTACATCAGCTCAATATATAACAGCTTTAGTCTATGGAGCAGCATTATGGTCACTATTTACTGTCTCAACTACATTTCATACTATTTCATATACTGGAAAATGCTCGTAAGTTGTAAACTTTTTGAAAACAATATTTTTATCAAGTTAATGGATGGATATTGAAATGAGATCTGTCTATCCGTGGTGGTTTATTGAAATAATTTGTGATAATTTGACTTTCTCAGTTCAATAATATTTGTGTTTCTATGGAAACAAATTTTTCAGACCTTTTGGTATGCAATTATATATTGGAGCACATCTCAGGAACCATTCAAAGACATCTTTAACCTGCACATCCTTTTCCTTTATATAGGCCCCTCATGGATATCTTTGAATATAAATCAATGATTGGTTTTTTTTTGTTGCTTATTTCAGAAGTTTAAAGAATTTTTTTCATATTGGTGATCGAGCCGTTATTTATCTATTTATAGCCGCCTCCTATACCCCGTGGTAAGATATACTTGTTATAGACCCTCATGGAATTATGGTCATGTTTTGTCGTCACCCCCGTCAGTCGTCCATACTTTCTTCTGAACACTTTATATACTACTGTCTTCATCCGTTCTGTACGAAATTTATATGCATTATTCAATTGTTCTTAATTCAAGGGTGGTTGGATGGCCGAATGGTTAGTGCGTCCACGTTGTATCATAGGGTCTGTCATTGAGTCAACTTGTATGGTTTTGATTCCCCTGTTGTACGTGACAGGTAGCAGGGCCGCCTGTTCAACCTCGTGGGTTTTCTCTGGGTCCTCCAGTTTCCTCCTACTGCTAAAGACCCCTATGCTCAAGCGAATTATTGAATTAAAATTGAACCATGTGTTGGTCCCGAAATGACCTAGTTTGTATCGAGTGGACGATAAATCCGATCTCTCTCTTTCACTTCTTGGGTTTTCTGCAGGTACTTCTGTTTCCTCAAACTTATAAAGATGTGTGAGTTAGTTGTATTTTACGTCCGCTTTCACTGAGGTGATATCGCAGACAAACTTAAAAAGATCCCTGTGTGCACTGCAAGTTATATAGGCCTACCGTTGTCTTAGTCTCAAAATTACCTGGTTTATGTTGATTGGGCGATTACCCCCAGATCCACTCCCTCTGTAGTATATAACAATAGATAATGCACAAAATTAAGACACTGTAATATGTAACGTACAGAATAGTCCGATTGAGTAATTAGAAATTTTCCCCTTACAGTCACATCTAATCATAGGCGTTTTTACGAGAAACCGATTAGGGCTAATCGATTTGCATTTCCTTTCCAAACAAATTTACGGCAAAAATTAGCCTAATCGGTTGCACCTAATTGTTGTATTTACCACGACGATTTGCCAAATCGATTATGCAAATCTTCCAACTTGCTCGCCTGCCGGATTGACGATTTGATTTCCAAGATGGCGTTCCAAACAAGGGACACGACGTGTCCGACGTTAGATCATTTTCTTTTGAATTTCACGTTAAAATATGAATATTATGGACATTTCTAATAAAAATACGGGGCATTTGGGGACAGTCAACTGGTACAACTTTTCGTTTTTATTTTTGGGTGGTGTCGCCAAGAACATAATAAAGAAAAGTGATTTTTTTAAACATTTTTCCTCAATTCTTCAGTCTTCAGCCATCTTGGGAGGTAACTCATTGCGTTTACGAGAACCGATTCGAATACCAACTCGAGACCTATGTCTTTGTACAAAACGAGATAGGTAATCAAAACCGATTTGTTTTCTTGTAAAAACTCCTCATTTCATGGAAAAATACTCCATGCCAAAGACATGGAGTGCCCTCTGTGAAATGTAACAGAGTTATCTCCCATGTACTGTTAATTTTGTTATTTAACAGGTTATGTTTAAAAGATTTGGGTAATTGGGGTATATCAGTATTATGGCTAGTGTGGATTCTGGCAATATTAGGTATAATATACCAATACACCTTCCATGAAAAGTAAGTTATTTAATATCAATAATTAAAAAAGCCTGAGGATCTGATGGCCGAATGGTTAGCATGTGCGCGTTGTATCATAAGGTCTGTCATTGAGTCAACTGGCATGGTTTTGATTCCTCAGTTGTACGTGACAAGGAGTAGGGCCGCCTGTTTAACCTTGTACGTTTTCTCCGGGTCCTCTGGTTTCCTCCCGCTGCTAAATATCCCTACACGCAATTGAAATAAAATTGGACCATATGTTAGTCCCGAAATGACTTAGTTTGTGTTGAATGACCGTTAAACCCCATTTCTGGCCTGGCAAAGAACAGGATCTAGTTGTCAAGTTGAGAAATCTGATTAAAATACAGATTTATATTTCGTTTTTTTTTTATATATACTTTAAATGGCCTACACTACATGAAGATATAACCGGTTGTAGTGTAAGGTTGCGTCAGGGGTCATATGAGCGGCTTTTGACCCTATGATGTCAGACATTGATTAATCAATCAGTGTTTATGTTTCTAGTGGTTTACCCACAGTTCCGTGCCAAGAACTCCCCAAAATAGTCCGTTTCATTGACTAATCCTTCACTTCAACTAGAATGCCCGCAATATAACAACTCTTCCAGATACTAGTGTAGTAAAGACAAGTAAAACAAAATTGTGAACTATAAAAAACGAAACGAAATAGGATCTGTGTTTTAATAAGATTGGAAATGAAATGAAGTCTGTTTTTGTTTGAATTTCAGATATAAAATGTTGGAATTATTATTTTATCTGGTTATAGGTGTTTGTCCTGCTACGGTAGCATTTGCTATGGTATGTATTTATATACAGCCCACTAGTGGGATTTATTTTAGGGTTTGGGGGTTAACGGGGGAAGTCCCTTGTCGAGTTATAAGTGTACTTAACTCTCGACTAGAAGGTCACAGGTTTGAATCCCAGTGTACGTCAAGATGATTTTTGGTGATTTTAAACGATTTTTACTAATTTTTAAGCAAAGATTTGATATTGAATGAATGTGAAAGAAATTAGTGCTAAATACACAAGATTAAATGATACTTGGGTTACAGTGCTAGAATATTGCAATATTGATTTCTATCATGGGGAATAATTGTTTGAATGATATTTATTAATAAGGACATAATCTATTTGATAACGTCTTGTGAAATCTTGTTAAAACATTGCAGTTTAACAAACTATAGTAATTGTTATTCTATAAAAGTGTGTTATTTGATCGTGGGAAAGCCTGATTTCCAAGTTATATTGCCTGTAGGCGGCAGGTAACAAGGGAAATGTGTCTTGGTCATTTGACATTCTGTGTACACATTGGTATTTTATTGTGGCAAGAAAAAGAAAACAGTTTCATTCTTTTTTAAAGATGCATTCTGTAACCACCATTATGTAAGAGCTAAATCTGCCTATTGCAGGTCTATATTTTGACTTCATATGTTATATAAACTATTAATTAGACACTTATTTACATAACAAATCTATAATCAACTCTCTAGACCATCGGATGGTCGTGATTTTTAATGGATTGAAACATGATCGCCATTTAATAATTTAACTTAAAATGGATAATTGAGACTTTGTTTATTGTCATACTAATGGTAGGCCTTTATGACAATCGAGACTATATTGTGAAAACTTTAAACTTCAAACACTCATAATTTCATTCAGAATAAAGTAATTTGACTGAAATTTTCAATATATTCATTTTTCATTATCTATTTCTGAACTATTAAAGCAAAAACTGTCAGCTCTTTATCTGAAATTATCAATATATTCATTTTTTCATTATCTTTTTCTGAATTATTAAATGAATGAATGAAATATGATTTAGTGGCATGTCAGTACCAACCGGACTATAATTCGCCATATGAACTATTAAAGCAAAATCTGTCAGCTCTTTATCTAAATCTTAGATAATGTATCTTTAATATATTTGTATTGTATTTTATTACAGAAAGAAGGATCAGGCCTAACAGAGTTATGTCTAGGTGGAGCCACCTATATTGTAGGTGTTGTATTTTTTAAAGCTGATGGAACGATACCCTTTGCTCACGCTATATGGCATTGCTTTGTATTGGTCGGATCGATGGTTCATTATTATGCCGTTTGTACACATTTACTAGGAAGCAGAAGTTTGGATTCAACCCGTGCCTTCGCTACCGAATTATAAAAACACTGTATCCCGCCAATTGTGTATTTTCAGATAATATTTATTATTTTTTCAGGGCTTGTTCCACGCTAAAATGTACTCGTATTTATTGTTATTTAATATTTCATTAAAGCGAGAATTTCATATTTTCTAAGAAAGTCAAAACATAATTATTTCTATGTCTTTTGCTCAAAAGGTTGTCAACTCACTATTATACGATTATAGGTTATCTTTCTCACACTTAAAAATCATTCACCCTAGAAATAATAACAATTACCTCCCTTGTTTTTCTATTCCCCCATGGAATAGCTATCTTCAAACGTTTGAATTTGAAGTTGAAAATGATATTTTTGCCAATTTCTCAACTGGCAATAGTGAATTATAGGATTAATAGGATTATTCTTTAACAAGGTAGGACTGTTTATAGATACCATCTATTTAAAGGCTTTATTTTAATACATTTTAAAAATATAACTTAAAAATATGAAATTATCGCTTTAAGAAAACAAAACTTTCAATGAGCCTCTCGGCTTTGAATCCATCGGATCAAAAAGGAGGCCCATCAATAGATTTTAGCAAACACTTATAGGTGGCACTGGCTTGTTTTTATATCGTCTGCAGATAATGACAAACGTTAAACTTTCAGTTTATCATATCTTTGTAAATACTGAAAGGAATTGAACCACTTCTGGACTGGTATGTGACAAGGAGTAGGGTCGCCTGTACAACCTCGTGGGTTTGGTCCGGGTCCTCCATAATCTCGCACTGCTAAAGACCCCTATGTGAAAGCGAATTATTGAAATAAAATTGAACCATACACTGTATGTTAGTCCCGAAATGACCTAGTTTGTGTCGAGTGGATGTTAAACCCTATCTCTCTCTCTCTCTCTCTACTTGTGGACTGATATTCCTGATAGAGATTCAAATTCCACAATACAGAAGTTTACAAGAGACTCAATTTCACAATCCCAAAATGATGGCTTTAGATACATTCAACTATAGTTCAAGAATTTAATACAACAGAAACTGTTCGCTTTATAATACTTGGAAACAAATGAGAAATGGCCAAGTGTTCAGTATTTAACTCCTGGTTGATCAACCATCCTTGTTTAAGAGGAATCTGTGTAAAATGTCAGATTTTAAAGAATTCACAATAATCCCAAGTTCTTGCTGAATTAAACTCATTTTTGAGAGGTTGCTAACTGTGTAAAATAAGCTCATTCCATGACACCTGTTACTTCAGTTTAATCTTAATTCTCCTAATACACAGGACACAATTCTCCTAATACCCAGGACACAATTCTCCCAATACACACGACACAATTGTTCCAATACACAGGACACATTTCTCCTAATACCCAGGACACAATTCTCCTAATACAGAGGACACAATTCTCCCAATACACCGGACACAATTCTAATACACCGGACACAATTCTCCTAATACACAGTTCTTCTAATACCCAGGACACAATTCTTCTAATACACAGTTCTCTTAATACACAGGACAGGACATGACACATAATTCTAATATTCAGGACACAATTCTCCTAATACACAAGAAACACTCTCCTAATAATATAATACACAATTCTTCTAATACATGGGACACAATTCTCATAATGCACGGGACACAATGGTCTTAATACACAGGACAGGACACAATTGACACAATGGTCTTAATACACAATTTGTAAAGTAATTATCCTATCTTCATTACCTGGTTGCAGCATAAATGTAGGACATTAAACTCAATTCATTCAAGTCATGTTTTAATTCCCGTCGTCATGATGGACCCCTCAAGGTGTAAATCTGACCCCGATGAGGATACTGTAAAAGTAATCTTGTATATTTATTTAAATGTAATTAATGTACATTGTGTTGTTTGTGTATATTTTGGGTGTGTTGTAATTTGTGATGAATTTATTGTAAAAGGCATATTTAAATTGTAGACAGCAACTGGGTGCACTTTTACCCCGTGGGTTTTCTCCTGGTCCTCCGGTTTCCTCCCACTGCTAAAGACCCCTACGCGCAAGCGAATTATTGAAATAAAATTGAACCATATGTTTGTCCCAAAATGACCATTCGGCCATCCAACCCCCCCTTGCCATAAAGAGCAATTATTTTGAAACCTAAAAAATTTGTATTAAAGATGCATTATGTAACAAGAACGTAGCTCTTTGTCGAAATCTTACATTGACAAGTAAATATTGAGATATATGTATATGGTCACGTGTCCATGTTGGCGTGCGCGTTAAAGAACGGCCAGCAGAAAAGTATGACATTAAATTAAACCCTATTTCATTTTTAAACTACAGAAGTTCTATGGTCTTGTTATGCACCAGACATCATATCTTGGTATCACTGGGAGTGTAACGTGTTAAAAACATGACACCGTGATAATACAGAATATCAGTTTGTCCGAGAAATGTTACAAAAACTTGTTGGTTAAAACATAAACTTCTTACAATTTTATACCAACTTTTTTATTTTATTCTATTCATTTGTTTGCCTAGATATTTTTGCGTATTTAAGTATGGATCGATTAGATTCTATTCCCAAAAGGATAACAATATATAGTTAAGAGTGCATATATTTATATATCAATTGCTCAAAATATCATGTATTACCCCCTGTAGCTTCTACATGCCAAGCCAAATTAAATGTTTTTATATTCTATTTTGTTGGTTTTTATTTTTTAATTACTTTTGTCGGAACTAGAGGTTGAGAGTATAAAATGTCTACACTGGGCTGGGGGATCAGAGTATAAAATGAATTCATACTGCCTACACTGGGAGATCAGAGTATAAATTCAATTACTTCTGCCCACTTTGGACTAATTTGGTGGGTTCCCGTGTACATATTGGCGTGCATGTAAAAGATCCCTTGGCAGTTGGAATTCGATATAAGAGTAGGCCGTAGCGCCTCTTCCTGGGCAAAATTTCCCTCATAGCACACTGTATGGCGTATGCCCGTCTTCATTAGCCCAGTTTAGGTGCAGAACAGTTGAACGTTAAATCCCATTTCATTTCATTTCTATCTCATGGTGTATAGAGCAGCCTGATCTGATGGTGAGACGAGTGGTTCGTAACAAATTGATATAAGTGATAAGAGAGGCTATGAAGACTTGGACAGGTAGGTCTCTCATCCTTCGGTTATGTGATATTTATAGCACGGCTTTCATGAGTTAACAGGTTTAAACATCGCGGCCGTAGGTTGGGATGTTAAACCTGTTAACGAATGAAGCGTGCTATAAATGACTTGTAACATTGACATCTGCTTAACATGCTTATTGTTCATGCACAGAAAAGCCACCCCACTTCTCTGTATGATTTCTACTAAAACTAGCGTAAACCAGCAAAAGTATGTAATAACATTGAACATTTCTAGTTATTGCACAGTTAAGCTCCACCCAATCTACTAGAGGGAAAACAATCTGATTTCCCGTCCATGTTAGAAGTGTCTTTGTTGAATGAGTGGTTTCTTTTCAACCAGATCGTCTGTGGACCGATTTGATTCTATCTCTTGTAAATGAGAGAATAAAGATTTTAGCCGGGATAATATCTTCTGTCAAAGTGGGATTGATTCCAAGACAAAAACGGGAATCATGACCAACCGATTTGATCAAAAAAATTAGCCATAACGAGATCGTAAGCAGAGATAGAGATACTATAAGAGATAAGAGTGGCTTTGCAGAAGAACCAATTTTAAGCACTTTTATCCTAAAAATCAACCAAGGGAACTAACCCAGCTGTCTTTCCCACTATCCTCAATTTGCCAACATCGTATTCCAAAATCTTTGTCATATCTTGTGACCCTCTAATATATTTTAGCTGTCTACAGTCCTGGAGAAAGAATCCCTATACCGCCCACCCATAATCATAGATTATCAAAATATACATATAATATAACTAAAATGAAAGAAGCCTAAATAACTTCTGTTGGGGGGGGGGGGGAAGGGAATGGCGTTCAGACAACTGTCACGGTTTCGATTCCCTGGTTGTACGTGACAAGGAGTAGGGTCTGCTGTCCAACCTCGTGGGTTTTCTCTGGGTCCTCCGGTTTCCTCCCACTTCTTAAGACCCCCTACGGGCAAGTGCATCATTGAAAAACCAGCGGCTGCCAGGCAGGATACGCCCACATTTTCGAGAGATGGATAGAGAACAAGCTAACAAGAAAGTGATTTTTCCTACTATCAAGGGCCATAATTCAGGAAATTACAATTCAATATGCGCAAATATCGAAAGGAACTGAGATCTTTGTGTTATAAACTTACATTTCAAGTTTCAACAAAATCGGATAAAAATTGTGACGTCTATAGGGTCCACAACCTTGATATACCGTATTTTTACGCTATTTGAGAACGAACGACGGCCATTTTGTCTGTCAATTTTAGGTTGATTTTCACGAAATTCGAATTCAGTCGTCCTTAGGGTGTAACAGTGATATAATAATACAGTTTTTTAAATTGGATAACAATTATGACCTCTATAGGGTCCACAAGCTAAAAACGTGATTTTTCGAAGTGTCGATCCAATACATGCCAATATCGAAAGGAACCAAGATCTTTTGGAGATAAACCTATATTTCAAGTTTCGTCAAAATCGGATAAGAATTGTGACCTGTAGAGTGTCCACAAACAAATTGTGGATGGACGGACGGACGTCCGGACGGACAGGGGCGACGACAATATACGTCCACATGAAAATGTGGGCGTATAAAAATTGAACCATGTGTTAGTTCCGAAATGACCTAGTTTGCGTCGAATGGACAATAAACCCCATTTCTCTCTCTCTTTCCGTTGGGCACACAATGACAGCTGGGGCATACACTTGGTGAACATGTAACTTGAAATTTGAAAACAAGTCTGAATTAAATAATAAAACATAATTAATATTATTATATAAAATTTGGCACACATTAACAATAAGTTATCAATAACAAAATAAATATTTCCCAAAAAATTATTTACATATTAATTAGGTATGTAAATTTTTCAAATTACATTTTCTTGAAACTTGAAATGAATCATATTATATATAAAATTATATATCAATAACAAAATAAATATTTCCCAAAAAATTATTTACATATTAATTAGGTATGTAAATTTTTCAAATTACATTTTCTTGAAACTTGAAATGAATCATATTATATATAAAATACTGAGTAAAATTTGGCATTAGATTGTAATTAGGAATGTAAAATATTTCTAAATATACGTTTTTTTTACAATCTGATTAAAATACACATCTATATTTCGTTTCGTTTTTTTATACTTTTGATGATCTCTACTACATTAAAATCTGACCAGTTGTAGTGGGAGGTTGTGTCAGAGGTCATACAAGTGGCTCTTGACCCTATGATATCAGACATTTGATTAACCAATCAGCGTTGACGTTTCTAGCAGGATACCCACAGTTCTGTGCAACTCTCGCCGTAACAGACCGTTTCATTGGCAAATCCCTTACATCTTCCAGAACGTGGGTTATATAACAACTCTTCCAGATTGTAGTGTAGTAAAGACAAGTAAAACGAAATTTTGAACTATAAAAAACGAAACAAAATAGGATCTGTGTTTTAATCAGATTGGTTTTCTTACGAGGTTGTGGTATATTCAAAAGACCGTTTATGACCAATGAACAACATTTAGAATCACATTCTATAAAATATTGAGTAAAGTTTGGCGTTAATAATTAAATTATGATATAAATATATATGTTTAATTTCTATCACTTCATTCATCCGTCACTCGGCCATTAAAGCAGCTTCTATTGCAGCATCAGCACCGGCTGAGATAGAATCTTCATCTTTCTGTAAATATACAAATACATTACAAAACATTTGAAAATTTTTTACTATTCAATGACAGAATTTAATCTGGGTTTTTTCTTTGTTGTATCATAAGGTCTGTCAATGAGTCAAGTGGCAGAGTTTCGAATTCCCGCTTGTACATGACAAGGAGAAGGATCGGCCTGTCCGACCTCATAGGTTTTCCCCGGGTTCTCCAGTTTCCTCCCACTGCTAAAGACCTCTATGTGTAGGCAAATTATCGATATAAGGTTGAACCACATGTTAGTCCCAAAAGGACCTAGTCTGTGTCGAGTGGAATTTAAACCCCATTAAAAAAAGAAAAAAAAGGAAACCAAAGCACCAAGAAGAAGCCCTCCTCCTTGTCATGTATAAATTTGGTATCGAATCCCCCCAACTTGACAGACCAGATAGATGAGATTAAATGAAATGAAATGGGTTTTAACGTCCTACTGTTCTGCTCTGAACATACAGTGTGCTATGAGGGAAATTTTACCTGGACAGCAGCACTATGGCCTACTCTGATATCGAATTCCAACTGTCAAGGGATCTTTTACGTGCATACCAATGTGTACACAGGACCTTGGTTGTTCGTCCCATCCGAACGACTAGACAGCTGTCCTTGTCAGGCCCTCCAAGATGAGATTAAGGCTAACATAAAGGTTAAAATATATCACTCACCTTTTGTTCTAAGATAATTAAATTACTCAGTCTCTTTATTTCCTTGGGTTTCGTCATCAAGACAGCCTCTCTTTTTTCATGCTCTCGTAATATTTTATGTTGTTGACGAACAAACACTGCACTCTCTTTTAAATTTCGATGATACATTCTGGAATAATAAACAAATCATCACTGTACACGTATGCTATAACAGAAACCACGACAGCAAACCAGAGCTCGACACACGATACTACAGACCACTAGGCCCTCCCAACACCTCCAACAGTGAATCACAGCTATCCTTTATTTATATAATAATAAACATATCATCACTGTACACGTATGCTATAACAGAAACCGCGACCACAAGCTAGAGGTGACCAGTCCGCCAGAGTTCGACACAATACACTCCAGAATACTAAGCTATCCCAACCCCCTTAAAGAGAGAGAGAGAGAAATGGGGTTTAACGTCCACTCGACACAACTAGGTCATTTTGGGACTAACATATGGTTTAATTTTATTTCAATAATTCGCTTGCGCACAGGGGTCTTTAGCAGTGGGAGGAAACCGGAGGACCCGGAGAAAACCCATGAGGTTGGACAGGCGACCCTACTACTTGTCACGTACAACCGGGGATTCGAAACCACTCCAGTCGACTCAATGACAGACTTTATGATACAGCGCGCGCACGCTAACCATTCAGCCATCCAACCCCCCCAACCCCCTTAAAGGGGCATTATGGGAGATTAGATAGGGAGCTAGCAGTTTTCACTATAATAGTTAAAAACTAAATAATGTAAAGGGAATTTGCTGAATCAACTCATCAATGACCATTGAGCAGCAGATCAGATTCAAATCCATTAAATATCGCAGGTTAGCGATGACATCGAGTGTTGATTATGGTCTGGATAAATTAATAAATGTCTAATTAAACATACATTATGCAAGAGCTAAATCTGACTATTTCAGGTCTTTCTTTAGGCCTGAAATGTTATCTAAATTATTAATTAAACATTAATTAACCTATCCAGGCCATAATCAACTCTAGATGGCAGCGCTAGCCTGCGATCTTTAGTGGATTGTAAGCCGATTTACTGCATAACTTTCCTTCTCAATTAAACGATTAAATGGATGCTGTTTATCGTACTGACTTTAGTAATGATGACCGAGGCTTATGGGAATTTCAGTCGCTTAGTTCTAGGTTCATAGTGGATCAATTTGAATGAAATTTTTACCAAATTGCCTTTACATTATCTAGTTTTTAACTATTAGAGTGAGAACTGCCAACTCGTTACCAAATCTCCCATAATGTATCTTTAATAGTTTAGATAACATTTCAGGGCTAAAGAAAGACCTAAAATAGGCAGATTTAGCTCTTGCATAATGTATGTTTAAGAGTGAATCACAGCTAGCCTATCATATATCTTGTACTGTCCACAATGTCTTCCAGCACTTCACATTTTAGTTTAAACAATATTTTATTCAATTGAATTGAACAACAGGCAAGGGCTTTTATCATATAATATAGAAACCCACTTACTCTTTGAATTTATGTTCAATATTTTTAATTGTTTTAAAAGAAGAATGGATGACATCTCTGTACGTTGGCTCATCTACTGTATGTCTGTTAAGGTTTCAAATTTTGGGACGGATATGGAAGATTTTTTCTAAATAATTTGTGAAAGTGTAGGAGTCTTTAGCAGTGGGAGGATTCAAAATACATACAAGGTTTCAAAATACATACAAGGTTCAAGCTTTGGATTGAAACCACAGCACTCGGCTTAATAAGAAAGAAATGAAAATGAAATGGGGTTTAACATCCTACTGTTCTGTTCCTTAACTGGGCTACTGAAGACAGGCATCCGCCATACAGTGTGCGATGAGGGAAATTTTGCCCGGACAGCAACACTATGGCCTACTCTTATGTCAAATTCCAACTGCCAAGAGATCTTTTATATGCACGCCAGTGTTTACATGGTCCCTTCTGAACAACTAGACAGCCCTACATCCTAGACCACTGACAAGGGGAAACCACGTCGGAAAGTCCTGATGAACTTTCTCGGCCAATGCAGGGATCGAACACCCGACCCCCAGGCTAGCGAGCTAGCGTCTTACCCACTTAGCCACCATGGCTCCTGGCTCAATAACAAACCTTATGATCGAAAGCGCATGTGTTAGACCATTCAACCCACTCCACCCAAAAAAATAAAAGGGAAACCAAAAGTTGTGAAAGATGATGCCATAATGTAGGCTATGTAGACAAGGATATGATGGTAGGTTTTCCAACTCAGTTCTTTGAACTCGAACATTTACGCCCGATACTGTAGATAACTGCTTCATTCGTAGAAAATGTGCCACCAGAGGGCTCTGTCCAAAAACATTAAACGATGCCTTGATGTAATCTGGACCTTTACATGCTGGATGAGACTAAAATAAATAATAAATAAAATTAATAAAATTAAGGATACATTATTATGTAAAAGCTAAATCTGCCTTTTGCAGGTCTTTCTTTAGGCCAGAAATGTTATCTAAATTATTAATTAGACATTAATTAACTTATCCACACCATAATAAATCTCGATGGCATCGGATTTCTCCGATATTAAATAGATAAGAACAGTTCAGCCATATTTGGATTTAAGCTAATAATGGAGGAGCGAGACCTAGCTTCGAACAATGAGTACGGTGGTTGAAATTATTGCACACGTCCTGTCAAACCTTCAAAGGATAATATTTTCGCTTGCAATAGAGTAATAATAATAGGTTCATGAAGATATCTTGAGAGAAAGAGAAATGGGGTTTGACATCCAAATGACACAAACTAGGTCATTACGGGACTAACACATGGTTCAATTTTATTTCAACAATTCGCTTGCGCGTAGGGGTCTTTAGCAGTGGGAAGGAAACTGGAGGACCTGAAGAAAACCCACGAGTTTAGACAGGCGACCCTACTCCTTGTCACGTACAACTGGGGAATCAAAACCATGCCAGTTGACTCAATGACAGACATTATGACAGAACACGCACATGCTAACCATTTGGCCATCCACCCCCCCCTTGAGAGATGATGATGATGATGATGATGATGATGATGTAGGTAATTGATCTCACCTCGTACTGATGTCGACTAAGAAGATCTTTACTAAGTGACGACGATAAGTAGGACATTTTAGTTTTCTCTGAGATATCTTCACCCTCACAAGTGATCTCTTGTATCGGGGTAAGAGGATCCAGTTTCCGTGGTTCTCCACTTGACTTCTGTAACAGAATTCCTTGTCTTCTTGGTGATGTCTGGGCCTTGTCCACGGCATCTATAGTGAAATCTACAGACGATATCGGTGATTGACACTTGGGTGACGGCGGGTGTTGGTTATTTGTCGTATGACAACGATTCTGTTGATTACGACCCATCACTTTATTTGTTCCCCATGAAATTGATGATTTAGAACCTGCTTGACTGAGTGACGTGACGGAGCCACCGTGACTCAGCTGTCTGGCCATCAGTGTATCAAGGTAATCCAAGTTTAATGCTGGGGATGCTGGAAAAGATAGAAAATTTAATATAATTTCCATGTTTATTAATTTTACAAGACCACCCAATCCTACATGATGGGCATACGCCATGGAGTGTGCCAAGATGGAAATTTTGCCCTGATAATGACTTTTGCCCTGATAATGACTTTTGCCCTGATAATGAATAATGATTTGATAATGATAATGACTTTTGCCCTGATAATGAATAATGATTTGATAATGATAATGATTTTTGCCCTAAAGGTTCTTTTACATGCATGCTGAAGTCAACCCCGATTTTCAGTCAGATCTAAATATTAAGGCCACTTGCAGGTTTCGTCAAGGTCACAAGATGTAAAGAGGGTTAGGATTGAGGATTGTGGGTTAGGGTGAGGGGCAGCGCTATCCCTGTTTACATCTCTATAACACCAATCATGAGGTTATGTGGCTTCTATACGTGCGCATTATTCTGTACTAGCCGCACAATTTTATAGTTTTATAGTTACATGGGGGGGGGGGGGAGGGGGGAGGGGGGGTCAATCATAGCCATGTTTGAAAATTGGGTTTTGAAAAAAAAGGCTATTTTTCCGAGATGAAAAATGACCGATGGGTCAGATCGTGTTAGCCGTCAGTCTTGACCGACAGATATGGCCGACGTGGAACCCATGATTATTACTCCAGGTTCCAGTTTCACAAAGCATTCTCAGACTTCAGAATCTACTCAACTTTCAATCACTTTATGAGAAATATATTTGATCCAGAAACAAAAAACTTGGGAATCGAAACCATGCCAGTTGACTCAATGACAGACCTTATGATAAAACGTGCACATGCTAACCATTCAGCCATCCAACCTCCATGAGATTTAGAGAGGTTAACATGGTATAGATATCAGATAGGGAGAGGGGTTTAATATAGACTATGCCTGTTCCCCAATCCCTATTAAGATACAAATCTCAATAAAGATATTTAAAAAAAAATACCCCAAAAAATAGATATCAGATATATAATAATGTTATTTACATTTTTTATTATTTTGAGGTAGTATCTCATCTCGTGATTTGATGTTAGGTGGATCTAGTTTATCAAAATTCCATGATGTCCACATTCTAGGGGCTGGTCGAACTCCTTAAAAATAAAAAAATATAAACTAAATGCATTATATCAGAACCTAGATTTTTCAACCCACACAAAGAACTAGAGGCTGTTCCTCGCCAGACCCTGCCCCACTGGCAAGACCCAGCACCACTGGCAAGACCCAACACTATTGGCAAGACCCAGCACCATTGGCAAGACCCAGCACCATTGGCAAGACCCAGCCCCACTGGCAAGACCCAGGACCACTGGCTAGACCCAGCACCACGGGCAAGACCCAGCACCACGGGCAAGACCCAGCACCATTGGCAAGGGTAAACCATATTGAAAAATCCAGAGGACTTTCTCGGCCAACACTGAAATCAAATCCAGCCCCATCCCCCAAAATAAATACATGAAATCAAATGTTTAAATCGTTGTACATGTATATTTAAATCTGTTTATTTGTTCTTGTAGATGGGAATGAAATACAGTAGTTAAATGCCTTGCTACCACCAATATTTTGTTTTTTTAGATTAACATTTATCTCCGATTGGGCATATTCCTGGTCGGACAATTTAGGACGTTTGGAAAATAGTGTCGGACATGTCCGGAATATACGAGCAAAATCCCATCATTGTTACATATTCAATGTGAGATAGGAGAATTTTAGTCAATCAGCAGAGTTACAACCAACCTTTCTTCAATTTCCAACTGTCAAGGGTTCTGTCACAACCACATACTAGTTCTTTTGTCCCATCCATAAGACTAGACACCCTTATTTTTTCTATAGCCTTTTTTCCTATTATTTTTTTATAAATTCGTACCTGCCATCCACTGTGAAATTAACATCAACAACTCATCTTTAAAATCCACACCAAATTGACGATAAGAATCGGGAAAAGCATGACAGAACGAAACATAAACAGCTTGTGCCATCAGTAGTGGATAATCCTGTTAAATAAATATTCACAGGAACAATTTTATTATAGCGAGCGAGAGAGATGGGGTTTAACATCCACTCGACACAAACTAGGTCATTTCAGGACTAACATATGGTTCAATTTCATTTCAATAATTCATTTGCGTGTAGGGGTCTTTAGCAGTGGAAAGAAAACCGGATAACCCGGAGAAAACCCACTCCTTGTCACGCACAAGAAGGGAATTGAAACCACGCTACTAGAGTCAATAACAGACCTTGTGATGAAACGCGCATGTGTTAACCACTCGGTCACACCTCCTTATGCCCGCCATTTCATTATTTTATTATATCACAAGAGTAATTGAAATGAAATGTATTTAACGTCCTACTTTTTCAATATCAATTGGGCTAATGAAGACTGGCATATACCATGCAGTGTGCTATGGAGGGGGGTTTTGCCCAGACAGCAGCATTTCGGCCTACTCTTTATACAAATCAAAATGTCAAGGGTTCTTTTACGTGCACGTCAATGTGTGAAAGGGAACATCGTTTTTTGTTCAATACAAACTACTAGACACTGTTTGTTATCAGACCTTCCATCCTACACCACTGACAATGGGAAACGAAGCTGGAAAATCCTGGTGAACTTTCTTGACCAACACTTGGATCAAAATGAAATGAAATGAATAGGGTTTAAAGTCCTACTGTTCTGCTCCAAAACTGGGCTAATGTAGACAGGCATACACCATACAGTGTGCTGTGAGGGAAATTTTGCCCGGGCAGCGGCGCTACGGCCAACTCTTAAATCGAATTCCAACTGCCAAGGGATATTTTACGTGCATTCCAATATACACACGGGACCTCGGTTTTTCGTCTCATCCGAAGGACTAGACAGCTGTCCTTGTCAGGCCCTCCAATTTGCACCATTGACAAGGGGAAACCAAACCAGAAAATCCAGATGAACTTTCTCGGCCAATGCAGGGATCGAACACCCGACCTCCAGGCTAGTGAGCCAGCGTCTTACCCACTTAGCCACGTGATCCCGCACTTGGATCGAACCCCGAACCTCCCATTGGAGCCAGCATCTTACTCACTGATCCTCCATGGTCCCCAAAATTAAAATGTTTAAGAGAAAATGTAAATTACCTTGAAGAACGTTTCCTTATAGACCTTTATTTTACAGTAAACTAAGAGTTTAACGTAATTATGGGCGATACGATTAAATAACTTAGGTTGAGCTGTGGTACCAGGCTGAAACTTCTCCAAGAAAAACCACCAAAATATGTCCTGTAATGAAATATAATAGAGAAATAAATTCCTCCTCTCTCTCAACTCACCCTCATTCTGTCCCCCATGCCCCCTCTCCCATCCCTTCTCCAAGAAAAACCAGCAAAATATGTCCTGTAATTAAAACATAATATGGAATTAACTTCCTCAAATCCTGAAATTTGTTGACAACATCGTTTGCAGATAGTCCAAATTAAGAATTCTGTAACTCACATAATGATAATTTTACAATTCTTTAAATGTAGACCAATAATTTCAACTGAAGTTTCACATTTATAGCAGGTATAGTTTTATGGATATTCAATTTATGAATTTACTACTCTGTAATGCTTCGACGAGAATCCTATCTTTATGGGGATGGTAGAAAAACACCCCAGAATCAAGTGGTTACCAGTGTGTCAAATTTTATCTTACCACTACCAGTATGTCAAAGTTTGACTTACCAGTATGTCAAAGTTTGACTTAACAGTATGTCAAAGTTTGACTTACCACTATTTTGCCATACAAGTATATTGACTTACAAGTATTATGACTTACATGTATTTTGACTTACAAGTATTTTGACTAACAAGTATTTAGACTTACAAGTATTTTGACTTACAAGTTACAAGTATTTTGACTTACAAGTTACAAGTATTTTAACTTACAAGTTACAAGTATTTTGACTTACAAGTATTTTGACTTACCAATATTTGGTTTATTTTTGATTAATAAGATATATTTTCCAAAGAATATATGATAACAAGATATTACAATTTTTAGCTACATCCCAATTTCATTATATATTTTCAAAAGCTATAAATTCAAACTTGTCTGCAGTTCTTATTTATGGTTTGTAAATTGACCAACAGGTACATTCTCCAGTAATTTATTTTACCTGAACAATGGCTTGTGACATCTTTGAATAAAATAATCTTTCGAATTCTGGTTTATACCTTGGCTGAAATTAAAAAATTAAAAAGAAATCTAATTAATAAGATATGTGTGTATTATCATTGATTTAATTCGAAGGAAAAATTAATGATTTAATCTGTTGTCAGTCGAGTTAACAAAGAGAAACAGTCTACTGACTGAGGAATATAAAAAAATTGGACAGATATTCCTTTTAGAAATTCAACTTTCATAATATAGTAGTTTGCATGGAAGAGAAAGAGAGAGAAATGGGATTTAACATCCACTCGACACAAACTAGGTCATTTCGGGACTAACATATGGTTCAATTTTATATTATTAATTCGCTTGCTCGTAGGGGTCTTTAACAATGGGAGGAAAGTTGAGAACCCAGAGAAAACCCATGAGGTTGGACAGGCGACCCTACTCCTTGTCAAGTTTTCAAGGGATTCCTTAAACATTTCCACTGGCAAATTCTAGTAAAAATTGCTCTACTACAAAAAAAACACACTAAATTACTCAAATAACACCTATTAAAAGGGTGATTTTTATAGTTGATAATTATTATAGTCTATCATTCTGATGCTATTTTGAATGAATAATGATCCCAGTAAAAAATCATTGACAGAGAGACAGAGAAATGGGGTTTAATGTCCACAGGGCCGTAACTAGCTCAGGGCAACGAGGGGGAGGGGGGGGCGGGAAGTGTTCTCAGGGGTGCTGTAACATTGACGGACAAAACATATCTATGGTCGACATTTTTCACAACATCCACTTGACACAAACTAGGACTTTTTGGGACCAACATATGGTTCAATTTTCTTTCAATAATTTGCTTGCACGTTAGGGTCTTTAGCAGTGGGAGGAAACCAGAGGACCTGAAGAAAACCCACGAGATTGGACAGGTGGCCCAACTCCTTGTACTGAAATTTGGGCAATCTCTGCTAACATCTACATCAATTCCACTGAAAACTTTTTGAAGATACATGTAAGATTAAGAGCCAAATTCAGACGTTAACAAGAATCTCGATCTAAAGCTAATAGTAATATATTCCCCAAAAAACCATAAAAAATAGTATTATGAAATGGCGATTCAGCGTCTCGTGATTAAATACGATTAAATATGCAAAATAATGTATGTATAATTTTTTGTGTGATTAAAAGACGAACCTTTCGATGTAGAGCCATGGTGGCTTGTGACACGATTAATAACATATCTACAGCATCCATATCGGCAGGTAGGGGAGTTAACTCTAACTTATCAAAACCTGGATATTGTTGTAACTGAAAATAAACCAATACCAAGTGTTTGGCTTGAAAATATGTATTCCCTGACAAAATGAAAATGAAATGGGGTTAAACGTCCTACTGTTTTGTATCGACTGGGCCAATGAAGACGGGCATACGCCATACAGTGTGCTGTGAGGGAAATTTTGCCTGGACAGCAGCACTTTGACTTACTCTTATATCGAATTCCAACTGTCAAGGGGTTTTATGTACATGCCAATGTGTGCTCGCGAGCTCGTTTTTTCATCCCATCCGAATGACTAGACAATGTTACTTGCCAGACCCCCCATCCTGCATCACTGACAAGGGGGAACCATTTACAATAGAATTTACACATACATAGGCAACGTTATTGAGAGATAAATTATAATGTTTATTGAATCTGGGTCAAATTACTCTCAAATCATATAAATCCCACCATCATATAAGATCTGTTTGGATCTATAATTCACAGATGGCCACAGCCGCCATTATTAACCGGGTTATATCAATATTTCACATCGTATAAAAGAAGAGGAAAAAAGAAATCAAGAACCTATTCATGGCACAGGCGTCTGTAACATGGAAAATATTTCAAAAATAACATCAAACTATGACTAAGTATAATGTCTAAAGTTAAAGGAGCTAAATCACTAATATTTGGGACCTAGACATTGACACAAAAAGGTCGCAACACATATAATAATGTAATGTGAATATTGATAAACTGAAACTGATTTACATTCAACTGTTTCTGTTTTTACTGTAATTTCTAATCTGTTATGTTCGGCGAAATATGCCAGAAGTCTCAATTGAATGGCAATCTTTAGCATCTGGTTATTCCAGTCTACACCAATGATATTTATTGCGCATGGTCTCCAGATAAGAATATAGCGTCACCATTTGACATTACTTTTGAAATATGTCTAGCTGCGTTCTTTGAGTCCCTTGTTCCAAATAGCGCTGAAACGCATTATGGTACACGATTCGTGTACCAATGGTAAAATGTTTTTTTTTTCTTGAATATTGGATATCAGAAGCCCATCTTTTCCCTGTAAGAATCACAAGACCAATGTTGATTTAAATTGACAAATAATTTGTGTTTTCAATGTCCTAGATTTTTGATGATATTGAGTTAGAGACTTAGCTACTTTAAAGAAGGTCATGTGGATAATTTTAAGAAAGTCATTGTAGAATTGTAGACTCGATTGTCTACCTAGCGAAAATTGCCACTGGGTGATGGATCTAGAGTAGTGAACTTTGACCCCAATTATTTAATTCCAATCCATTTCTGACCTTGGTATTATTATATCTACTGAAAGAGAATCAGTTTCAGATGAGTTATTTGCCCCTGAGTTAGAAATCGGGATCAGACCAGTTATTTGAGATCTCACTTACAAACATGGACATAACAGACTTTAGACATATACTTAGTCATAGTTTGGTTTTATTTTTAAAATATTTTACATGTTACAGACGTCTGTGATTCATGGCAGCGAATTTTCGTTCCAGTTCATAAATCTGCGATTGGGAATACAGAACTTCTGTAAAAATGGACAATTATCGGCAAATACGGAAGTGCACCGATCGATATTGATGTTTTAATCGCTAATCGGTTTATCTCTATTATTTATTAATTCACTCACCTCAACAAATTTTGGCTTTCCAGTATCTTTGTTTTTTGTCTGAAAATAAAAGATGAAATTAATAAATCTATGTGTGTCCCATTTTTGTGCAACTCTGGTAAGTGTGAGAGAGATGGAGTTTAAGGTCCACTTGACACAAGCTAGATTATTTCAGGACTAACATATGGTTCAATTGTTATTTCAATAATTTGCTTGCATGTAGGGGTCTTTAGCAGCGGGAGGAAACTGTAGGACCAGGAGAAAATCGACCTGTCACGTACAAACGGGGAATCGAAACCACTCCACTTCACTCAATGACAGACCTACTCTTCATCAAATTTCAATGTGAATGCCAATAGGGGCCTTTTTTTTTCGGTGCCACAGCGGCTCAGTGAGCAAGACATTGGCTGGCTAACCTTGAGGTCCCTTGTTAGGTCCCTGTGTTGACCGAGAAAGGTCGTTAGGATTTTCTGCCATGGTTTCCCCTTATCATTGGCGTGCACGTAAAAAAACTCTTGGCAGTTGGAATCTGTTATAAGAGTAGCCTGTCAGGGCAAATTTTCCTCATAGCAATATGTATGGTGTAAGCCCATCTTGATTAGAACAGCAGGACGTTAAACTCCATTTCATTTCATTTCATTTTTTTCGGTCCCATCCAAATGAGTAGGCAACAAATATCCTGCATCTACCACTGACAAAACGTTAGATAAATAACTAGTCCCTGTTATAAAACTATTTGTAATTGAGTAGGATGTTAGAAACTCACAAGTGTGGTTTTACTGGGGTTCATACTGATCTTTGATATATTCTTCGCTCTGTTACTTAATCCAGGTACAAATGCTGAAATAAAGACACGACACAAGGTACAAAATATAATTCACCTTTCAAGTAATCTACAAATGCTGAAATAAAGACACATGGTTAAACAGTACTCCTTTTGGTGATCTTTTACAATTACAAATATAGGATATTTTAAAAAGTCACGATACATATATAACAGAACTTTCACGTTTATCTGCCAAAATAAAATAGGAAATTTATTTATTAAAATAAATAAAACTACATGTCAATTGTTGAAGCAGCATTTGTTTGACTGGCATGTTACTTGGATGATGTTTATTTCTGGCCACATTTCGATGAGGGCTCTCTTGTCCTTACGCGTAGGGGTCTTTAGCAGTGAGAGGAGAGAGAGAGAGAGTTAACGTCCACTCGACACAAACTAGGTCATTTCGTGACTAACATGTGGTTTAATTTTATTTCAATAATTCGCTTGCGCGTAGGGGTCTTTATCAGTGGGAGGAAACCGGAAAACAGGGAGAAAACCCACGAGGCTGGACAGGCTACCCTACTCCTTGTCACGTACAACCTCAATGACAGGTCTTATGATACAGCACGCACGTGCTAACCATTCGGCCATCCAACCTTCCAGCAGTGAGAGGAAACCGGAAGACCCAGAGAAAACCAAAGAGGTTTGACAGGCAACACTACTCTTTGTCACGTACAACCGGGGAATCGAAACCACGGCACTTGACTCAATGACAGACCGTATGATACAATGCGCACACGCTAACCATTCAGCCATCCACCCCCACCCCCACTGTAAGATATATACAAGACAAATATTAAACTTACATGTTTTAAGTGTGTAATATCCAGCAAACTTGAGAACTTCTCTATTTTCTTTCTCTGAATAAAAAAAAAACAACCATAAATACACTTTAAAGTTTGTACCAAGAACCATTAACTGCATTTGTTTAATTATTTCTACAGTGATAACAATTTAACAATTGAATTCACATGGATTTCAAACATTTGTGGGATGATGAGCACTTAAACATACATTATGCAAGAGCTAAATCTGCCTATTGCAGGTCTTTCTTTAGGCCTGAAATGTTATCTAAATTATTAATTAGACATTAATTAACCTATCCAGGCCATAATCAACTCTAGATGGCAGCGCTAGCCTGCGATCTTTAGTGGATTGTAAGCCGATTTACTGCATAACTTTCCTTCTCAATTAAACGATTAAATGGATAATCGAGAGTATGCTGTTTATCGTACTGACTTTAGTAATGATGACCGAGGCTTATGGGAATTAAAGTCGCTTATTTCTCGGTTCATAGTGGATCAATTTGAATGAAATTTTCACCAAATTGCCTTTACATTATCTAGTTTTTAACTATTATAGTGAGAACTGCCAACTCGTTACCGAATCTCCCATAATGTATCTTTAAACATACATCATGACTCACCTTTCTTGATATATCTGTCTCTATCTCGTGAACTAACAGGTATCTCATCTTGACTTGCTGAGTAATCTGACAATCGACTCTCACACACTAACTGGGTATATTTCTGTAATTGACGATCTAATTTACCTATTCTTCTACTCACTTCGTCAATTGACCCAATCAAGAAAGCTTTAAATCATCAGTTAAGAAAATACATTTTTGAACATTCTTCATGATTTGGATGAAAACTAGTTCAAAAGATAACCTGGCCCCGGTTCCACAAAGCATTCTCAGACTTAAATTAAGAATTTACTCAACTTTCAATCACTGTTTATGAGAAATATCTTTGATTCAGAAACACAAAAATTTGTACATAGTTTATTATTGATGTATTTGATACATTAAAACAACAAAAGTTTTATAAAGGGCTATATTTTAGTTAAAATAAGGCAAACAATTTTGTGTAAATTCATAACTTAAGTCTGAGAATGTTTTGTGAAATAGGGGTCTGTTTGTTATTATAGGTCCAAAATGGCCATTGTTATCAGTATTTCTGGATGCAGTAATTTGTGTACGATAGCTATGCAAAGCTTTGTTTCAACTGCAGCTTATGCAAAAGGACAACTTGAATGTTCAGAAAAGTCGCAGAACGCTTAATATTGATAGATTTCATTCTCTCATGACCCCAATGCTTCCCAGCAAATTTGAAAGAAGTCTGTTAAAAATCAAAGATCTATTTGATTCACAAGGTTTTTTAGCAAAGGGGGATAACTCCTGAAAGGAAAGGTGTAGAACGTTGGATTTCAATAGGTTTCATCCTCTTATGACTAAAATACTTCCCACCAAACATGAAAGAAAACTGTTAAAAACTATAGCCTCTATCACGATCACAAGGTTTTTGGCAAAAGGGGGATAACTCCGGAATGGAGGTTTAGGTAAATGTGATTTTGGATAAACCTGTTTTACTGGACAGCTTTTTTTCCAGTGAGTTTTGTTGCTGCTTAATGACAGTTCCTCGAGTAAGCTAGAACATGTGGAATATACCGACTGGCACCTGCTTGAGGCATAGAGAGATAACATGTGAACAATAAATATACCTCTCTGCACCATGGGGTATTAAAAATGGTAATACCAATTAGGAGAGAGAAAGAGAGAGAAATGGGGTTTAACGTCCACTCGACACAGACTAGGTCATTTCGGGACTAACATATGGTTTAATTTTATTTCAATAATTCGCTTGCGCGTAGGGGTCTTTAGCAGTGGGAGGAAACTGGAGGACCTGGAGAAAACCCACGTGGTTGGACAAGCAACCCCCCATACCAATTAGGTCCAAGAGTTGAGTTGTAATGCTGACAAGTTCAATCAAAATGCTTGGTCTTTGCCTTTATATAGAGCGAAGCTCTAAAGCTTCAGACGAAGTGCAATGCTTGGGCACAGCACTTTTCCGGTAACACAGGAGCGTAACTGAAACTGTCACTCAAAGACTGTTGGTTTAAAAAAAATTCAGACCGGAACTGGATACACTGCGAAAAACTGGCAATGCCCATGTCAACTTCCTAAATCTCCCCCAAGCTAGATTACGCGTCTCATAGAAATATTTCTATAATCTGTCTAATCAATGACATCACATATTTTTGACGTCAATGAAAATAATAAAATTAATCATACAATTTAGACACAAACTAGGTCATTTTGGGACTAACACATGGTTCAATTTTATTATTTATAATCTGCATGCGCGTATAGGTCTGTAGTGTCGAGTGTATATTATCCAAGCCCCGCTTGGCATGTAAGGCATCCGCATAAACTAACAATGTTACCTATTTTGAGTCTAAACATAATCTGAGCCGCTGCTACGGCAAAACAGCAATATATAGGTTAAATCCCGCTGGTAGCACGAGACTCCGTGGATAGGTGAAAGTAGTGTTGGTTATCCTGACGGACATCTGTATTATACAGGGCAAAATCACAACAGGTCTTTAGAAGTGGGAGGAAACCGGAGGACCCAGAGAAAACCCACAAGGTTGGACAGGCAACCCTACTCCTTGTCATGTACAACCGAGGAATTGAAACCACACCAGTTTACTCAATGACAGACCCTATGACATGATACAGCGAGCATGTGTTATCACCATTCGACCAATCCACCCCCCACGCCATGACTTCTAGGAGACAGGTGTGTAACTATAAATCATAAAGTTGTGCTTGCAATTATTTATGCCTCCCAAAAATTGGGGATAGATCATATGTCATTGGCAGTGTGCAATTTCTGAAAGGGGCTTTATTAAAGGGTCTGGGAGGGATTGAGATTGCTCGAGTCAGTGCAGAGCCGATGATCGAGCACCGGATGGCGGATGTATTTTCCAACCACAAAAAACAAAGAAATCGACCCCAGAAATTAAAAATAAAAGGGATACGTGATCGAGTCCGTTGTTTCTCTTGTAATTCTCTTTTTCTTTGATTTATGGAGCCTTGCGTTTCTGTTAAACCCTCATCACAAACATCCATAGGCGTTCCAGCTCGATTTATGTCCGCCATCTTTGTTTACCTCAGTTACGAATCTACAAAGCTATAATTTTGATTTTCGTATATGTGATTCTTGGATTTGTTTCATAATTATTTTCCAATAATATCAAATACAAATGTATGAAAATGATCCAAAAATAACTCTTAATTGAATCAAATGCCTCAAATCGTAAAATACTAAAAGTAACAAAATTTGCCATACTGAGCCAAGTCTGTATAATTTTCGTACAAACCCGGTGCATGCTGTACTAATTGTTGACGTTTCTTACATAAACAAGTTATTTTTGGTGTCTAAAAATATTTTAATAAATATCACAAAATGTCTTTCTGTTCGTGGACATCTGGTGAACATTATAGAGACCATTTTGAAACAGGTATATTGTGTATGTCTTGTTTGCGCAGAACCCAGTGAAATAAAACTTATAAAACTTTATTGGCACTGGGATTGAAAACTGTCAAGTCATGTCTCCAGAACTCTGACAGAAAACCGAAAGTAGATCAACCTGCAGAAGCTTGTATTTTAATAATGAGCTTTACTTTTCATGAGCTTTTAGATCACATGGGTTCAATTCCCAACTAGTTTGCATATGACAATTGTAGGGTTGATCGCCTACTGCCTAGCTGTCTTAATAATTGCAACCTCGTGGTGTTAGTTTTTTCTGTCTGGCAACCTCGTCGGTTTTCTTCTGTCTTGCAGCTTGTCGGTTTTTTTTCTGTCTGGGTACTACGGTTTCCTGCCACTGCTAAAGACCCCATATGCAAGCAAATTATTGAAATAAAATTGAACCATATGTTAGTCCCAAAATGACCTAGTTTGTGTCGAGTGGGTGTTGCAAACCCCATTTCTCTCTCTGCTTTACACATGACATCTGGGACCATCATCTGGCTGATGTGTTGATGTAATGAATATGTTTTTTTTTCTGTTTTCAGGAATTTATGTCTGCGCAGAATGTGGTTATGAATTATTTCACAGTCACACAAAATATGAACATTCTTCACCATGGCCTACATTTAGTAAATTAATTCGTCCTGATAGTGTTCAACGTCGAACAGAATCTCCAACTGCTATAAAAGTAAGCATTTAAGATTTTGAAATTCAGTAGTATTGTGAGTTTCCAGCCATAGGTCTGTTTAGGTCGATTGCCTTCCTGCTCACTGGATGTCTTTCGGTATTGTAATTAAGGTTTCGGGTTAACGTAATGAAAGTTTCAGAATGTCATATGAGGAATTTTTAAGAAAAAAAAACTCTGATTCTTGGTCATAATACCATTTCACGGTGGCCAAGTGGTTAAGACGCTGGCTGGCTAGCCTGGAGGTCGGGTGTTTGATCCATGCCTTGGCCCGAGAAAGTTCATCAGGATTTTCCGACGTTTCCCCTTGTCAGTGGGGTAGGAAGGAAGACCTGAAAAGGACAGTTGTCTAGTCATTCAGATGGGACGAAAAACAGAGGTCCCTTGTATACATTGGCATGCACGTAAAAGATCCCTTGGCAGTTGGAATTCGATATAAGAATAGACCATAGTGCCGCTGCCCAGGAAAAATTTCCCTCATAGCACACTGTATGGTGTATGCCCTTCTTCATTAGGTGAGTCGGAGCAGAACAGTAGGACGTTAAACCACATTTCATGTCATTTTTTCATAATGTTGAGTATTACACTCAGCTTGCTCATAGTGTATAAAACACTGTAATACTAAAGTTCGTTGACTGTAAGTTTTTTGTCAGTTTTTTGTAATTAATCTTGAAAAGATGAGTTTTAAAGCAATATTTGAAGATTTATAAAGACACAAAAAGTTCAACTTGGAGTGAATTCCATCTTTTTCACTGTGGTGGCTCAGTGAGTAAGACATTGGATCACTAGTGTGGATGCCCCATGTTCGATCCCAGTGTTAGACGAGAAAGTTCATCACTGCTAAAGACCTCTACGCACACGTGAATTATTGAAAAAAAGTTGAACCATATGTTAGTCCTGAAATGACCTAGTCCATTTCTCTCTCTCGTTCTCTCTCTCTGAGATTGTTTGAATGTAACTGTCTATTATTATAATGTTTGTCCTTCTCTCTCTCTCTCTCTCTGAATGAGATTGTTTGTCCCCTCTCTCTCTCTCTCTCTCTCTCTCTCTCTCTGAATGAGATTGTTTGTCCTCTCTCTCTCTCTCTCTCTCTCTCTCTCTCTCTCTCTCTCTCTCTCTCTCTCTGAATGAGATTGTTTGTCCTCTCTCTCTCTCTCTCTGAATGAGATTGTTTGTCCCCCCTCTCTCTCTCTCTCTCTCTCTCTCTCTCTCTCTCTCTCTCTGAATGAGATTGTTTGTCCTCTCTCTCTCTCTCTCTCTCTCTCTCTCTGAATGAGATTGTTTGTCCTCTCTCTCTCTCTCTCTCTCTCTCTCCCTCTCTCTCTCTCTCTCTCTCTCTCTCTCTGAATGAGATTGTTTGTCCCCCTCTCTCTCTCTCTCTCTCTCTCTCTCTCTCTCTCTCTCTCTCTCTCTCTCTGAATGAGATTGTTTGTCCCCTCTCTCTCTCTCTCTCTCTCTCTCTCTCTCTGAATGAGATTGTTTGTCCCCTCTCTCTCTCTCTCTCTGAATGAGATTGTTTGTCCTCTCTCTCTCTCTCTCTCTCTCTCTCTCTCTCTCTCTCTCTCTCTCTCTCTCTCTCTCTCTCTCTGTGAATGAGATTGTTTGTCCCCTCTCTCTCTCTCTCTCTGAATGAGATTGTTTGTCCCCTCTCTCTCTCTCTCTCTCTCTCTCTCTCTCTCTCTGAATGAGATTGTTTGTCCTCTCTCTCTCTCTCTCTCTCTCTCTCTCTCTCTCTCTCTCTCTCTCTCTCTCTCTCTCTCTCTCTCCCTCTCTCTCTGAATGAGATTGTTTGTCCTCTCTCTCTCTCTCTCTCTCTCTCTGAATGAGATTGTTTGTCCCCTCTCTCTCTCTCTCTCTCTCTCTCTCTGAATGAGATTGTTTGTCCTCTCTCTCTCTCTCTCTCTCTCTGAATGAGATTGTTTGTCCCCTCTCTCTCTCTCTCTCTCTCTCTCTCTCTCTCTCTCTCTCTCTCTCTCTCTCTCTGAATGAGATTGTTTGTCCTCTCTCTCTCTCTCTCTCTCTCTCTGAATGAGATTGTTTGTCCTCTCTCTCCTCTCTCTCTCTCTCTCTCTCTGAATGAGATTGTTTGTCCCCTCTCTCTCTCTCTGAATGAGATTGTTTGTCCCCTCTCTCTCTCTCTCTCTCTCTGAATGAGATTGTTTGTCCTCTCTCTCTCTCTCTCTCTCTCTCTGAATGAGATTGTTTGTCCTCTCTCTCTCTCTCTCTCTCTCTCCCTCTCTCTCTCTCTCTCTCTCTCTCTCTCTGAATGAGATTGTTTGTCCTTCTCTCTCTCTCTCTCTCTGAATGAGATTGTTTGTCCTTCTCTCTCTCTCTGAGATTGTTTGAATGCAACTGTCTATTATTATAATGTTTGTCTTATCTCTCTGATTGAGGTTGTTTGAATACCTATTATTATAATGTTTGTCTTATTACAGATTTTATGTGGTAAATGTGGTAATGGATTGGGCCATGAATTTTTAGGGGATGGACAGAAAAAAGGAGAATCCCGTTTTTGAATATTTAGTTCAGCTTTAAAATTTGTACCAAAGTAACGTAAGTAAATAATAATAATAATATAAACTGCTCAATGGCACTGAATTGTCTGTCACAGAAAATGATGTTATATTGAAGTAAAGAGATGTGTCTTTAGTCTCTTTTTGAATTCTGCAATGGTTCCTTCTTCTTTTACCTGTTGGTGTAGCTTGTTCCATAGGACTGGTGCTGCTATAGAGAAGGCCCTATCACCAAACGATACAAGATTTGTTCTTGGAATATCAAGTTGTAGCCTGTATTTGAATTAAAGACTTTAATGGGATTTTATTTGAATTAGAGTGAAATAAGCATACAACAGAATCGTGTACCTGTATATGGCTGTCTGTATTAACCAGTACAGAAAAGTAGGACATTTTTCACCCTGGCTTCCCCTTGTTAGTGTTGCAGGACATAGGGTCTGGCGAGCAACAACATTTAGTCATTCATAACAAATGATTAGATTTCATTCCTCGATTTTTTTTAGCACTGCCACATGTAGTTGTGACAATTTATGAATAAGATGTAGACTTTTGGTCAGGTCTTATGTCTGAAGCCAATTCTTGGCAGTAGCTTTCGAAGTCCCACTGATTTTAAATGTTATTTCTTCGTTACATTAAAAATATTCGTTAGAAAACAAATCCTTATGCTTTTTATCGTGTAATACTATTTTTGTTCAATCGGACACACCTCGATTAACTAGACACACGTGATATAAACAATAATATTTTACGGTAATTCTTACTTTCATTTATCATTTTACAATACGTTAACATGTATTTATTTTATTTACAATACGTGCGTGCGGGATACATTGGTTTTATTTCTTTCAAAGTGAATACTGAAATAATTACTTGAAATTGACATGTCTTGCAACGTGAGTGGTACTACTTTCTTCCCCATTTACAGCTTAATAACCCCTATTCATAGAGTTATGTCCCTGTATTATATAGTATAATAAATTGTGTCTGGGTAATTCTAGAAGAAAATGTCACACGGAGAATTCAGTTTTGTTTATAAATGTGGACAATCTTTGTGTCAATATCCAAAATGACAGGCATATTATTGATTCGCAGTTACTGCGAATCAAAAACTTTAGATTTTAATTTTTGATTAGCAACGGACAAAATATGTATCGCAAATTGCGCTGCGATACTGTTTGTCGGCAGCCCTGGTCTGGAAGAGTTGTTTTATAACAGGCGTTCTAGTTGAGGAATTAGCCAATGAAATGGTCTGTTACAGCGACTTTTTGGCATGCGATGCACAGAACAGTGGGTAAACCACTAGAAACGTCAAGGCTGATTCATTAATCAATGTCTTACAAAAGCCATTTGCATGACCTCTGACACAATCTTTTACTACAACCATTCAGATCTTCGTGTAGTGTAAGCGGAAAGACAGCTGACCATGCAAAATTCTCCATATAGGACACTGTACGGTGCATGCTGGTCTTCATGCCGAAGTGTTGGACATTTTTATTTCATTTCGATATTATGTAGACAACTAATTTGTTTATTTGTTTTGTTTATTTGCCAGGAAGTTTAAGAGGTGATGAAATATGGCTGAATTATTGCTACAGCAGATAACCCAGACATCTCTCTGACTTATTCTGTTTCAAATAATTGTAAATTGTAACTTTATTCACTAAAATTTAACCTTAAATATTTTAACAGTGCAGGAGGGCCACATCTCTCATAAACAATTACACAAGACAAAGCCATAGACAGGACATACAAAATACACTTCCACCTTGTCAGTGGTGCAGGACAAAGGGCCTGACAAGGACAGCTGTCTAGTCGTGCGGATGGGACGGAAAACTGAGGTCCCATGTACACATTGGAGTGCACGTAAAAGATCGCTTTGCAGTTGGAATTCGATATAAGAGTAGGCCGTAGCGCCGCTGCCCGGGCAAAAATTTCCCTCATAGCACACTGTATGGTGTATGCCCGTCTTCATTAGCCCAGTTTAGGAGCAAAACAGTAGGACGTTAAACCCCATTTCATTTTATTTCATGTTATAAAAGTAGAAGTAGGAATTATTCAGCCATATTATTTTATGCCAAGAGTCTAGATAAAGATTAAAGATAAACCTTTATATAAATATGATATTATTTTAGTTGTATATACAAACAATCTGATTAAAACACAGATTCTATTTCGTTTCATTTTTTATACTTCAAAATTTCATTTTACTTGTCTTTACTACACTAGGATCTGGAAGAGTTGTTATATAACCCGCATTCTGGTAGATGTTAGCCAATGAAATGGTCTGTTACAGCAAGTTTTTGGCAGGAGGTGCACAGAACTGTGGGTAAATCACTAGAAACATCAATACTGATTGGTTATTCAAATGTCCGTCAAAAGCCTCTCATACGACCCCTGACGTGACCTTCCTCTACAACCGGTCAGATCTTCATGTAGTATAGTCCATCGAAAGTATAAAAAACGAAACGACATAGATCTGTATTTTAATGTGATTGATATTAAGTTGATATTAACACCACTGGTTGTTATTTGTATATAATGGACAATATTTAATTGTTCACGGCTTATTGTACTCGAAAATAAACTTATAATGATTACTAGCTTGTTACCCGGATTCACCCGGGGCCCAAGATCTGCTTAGTCGCCATCTTCCTGTCTTGCACACTTTCCCATTATCTTACATCATCTGTTACTATTATTAACTTAATTACCATAATAAACAGAGTTACCTCCCATTAACCGTTAATAGCGTTAAAATAGTTTGGTTGCAGGCACATTCCTTTCTTGCACGCTTTCCCATTATCTTACATCATCTGTTACTATTATTAAACTTAATTACCATAATAAAACAGAATTACCTCCCATTAACCGTTAATGGCATTAAAACAGTTCAATTTTTGGCTGTGATAAACTAACAAATGATCTTGAGCTTGGCCTAAAACATCCACAGAGTCATGCTGGTTAATTTGATACCAGATATGTGGGTATGGATCATGGCGACGAAGCGTGATGGGCGAACACATACACACATACATACATACATCTTTGATTTTATTTATATAGATAGATTAAATAATAATAATCATCAATTTGTATGGCACTGAGTGTTCCAGCTAATAAGCTGCTCTAGGGTGGTCTTTACAATTAAAATACATAGAGCATGAAATAACCACTGCGCCACTGAGTAGTTTTACTGAATATACCAGCCCTATACAAGATGGATTATTATTATTAAAACATTAAGAAAATTAAAACTGTCAAAATGTTAATTAGGAAAACAAAACTAAAACATTAATAGTAGATAATTTCCTGGGTTGAATTTAGATTAAAAAGAGGACCATTAAAAGATTTTACCCAACAGCTTGATATTATGATTACATGTATCTCGCATATAAATTGGATGGAATTTCATATTCCAACTAAACTACACTAAGTTTATCTTTTATTATTCATGGATCTCCACACTCAATCTACCTCCTATGTGACCTGACAATGTAGTCATGACTAGACAAGACATTCAGACTCAACTCAATCTGGCAATGTGACATCTAGACTCAACTTGACCCGACGTGACATGACATCTCGACTCGACATGACATGACATTAAATTCAACGTGACATGACATCTAGACTCAACATGACATGAGATCTAGATTAAACAGGACATGATATCTAGACTCAACATGACATGACATCTAGACTCAACATGACATCCAACTAGACTCAACTTTATCTGACATCTAGACTCTTGAAGAGAAAGTTTGTAAAAGATTTAAATATGTTTATATTTTGTTAAGAAAGGATGAAGTCCTCTGACCAAAGCCCCACGGGGAAAGTTGGGGGATGGAAGGATATCTTATAGATATGATTATAATTTATTTGTTTTACTTATTCTCTGTTTACGCTGCAGGGAGATAAAGAACCCCGGAAAGCCACATCAAACGCCACCCTTTCTGCTGAAATCTCAGGTTTACTAAAGATTATTTTAAAATATTTATCGCATGTTTTCTTTAACCAAATCGTAGAATCAGATCTCAAACAGTGTTAAATGATGTGGGTTTTTTGGGGTTCCTTATTTTATTTTTTTTTAAAGATTATATGAGTAATCATTATCCAAAAATATCTCGATCCAGTTCAGATTTTCAATGAAAATGGATAGTTATGTTTAAAAATATGTCTTCGAAACAATAAAGTTATATATCTATGTTTTTAAAGAAATATATTATTTGTACATTTCTCAAATAAATGCTGTTTCATATATTTGTGATACCCCACAAAGAATGACGGTCTGAACAATACCTAATTGTATTTTGGAAACAGGTGTCTCAAAAAGTTCAATATTTGAAAATACATGTGATTAAAACCTATCAGGAATATATAATCAGAACTTACGAGTTGATGTATTTGAGATAATTTTTGAGACACAGAGTTCAACCTCCACTTCACACAAACAAGGTACATGTACAAACCTTGTGCTCTAATGTGCAAATGTTAACCCATGTTCCTGAAGCAACGACCCCGAGTTTTACAACATCTAGCCGTTGCTTCAATCCTCAACAATTCCCGAATTTTTGCGCTCGTTGTGTTTACACTGACTAATTAGCATTGTCTAATCAGAAGTCGTGGCACATAACACACTGTAAACAAATATGGCGGCCTCCATAGAAAAAGAAATTGACAAGTTTACAGCCTTTGTTGATCAACCATAATTTCCAAAAACATTGACATTGATCGAACCTTGAACTTTGCAACTCGATTGTCACATGTAGACATTTTAGCTAGAAGCGCGAGACTTGATAATCGTAACGATATTTTTAACGAAGGAATCTGATAGGATCACAAGCTGGGCTTATACACAATCAAAATTAGTGCTAAAATATGCGGGGTATTACGTGAAGGGCTTGATATGATGTACGTAGTTAAGGCGAGATCAAGCCTTCTATTAAAGATGATGTTAACCCAATCGGCCACCCAACACCCCCTACCTTTTTATAGATCAGAAGGTTTCATTTACCTTCTAGAATAATTGAGTAATAAAGTGGAATGAATAAAATATTATTTATTAAGAAGGGATTGATTATTGATATATAAAATATTGTATAAGTTTATAGAACTATATAAATTATGTGCCATATTATTATTATTATACCGTGTGAATTGAAGATGTAGATAAATTGAATTGGATTTATTGATTAAATTTATAAGAATAAACAGAACATAAAAAAACCCCAATAAATTTCAGTTTTTATTGTCTTGTCATTTTAAATATCGGATGATAGTTGCCATGGTGACTAACTAAGACGTCCAGGGTTCAGTCTCAGTGTTGGTCAAGAAAGTACCTCCGGATTTTCCAGTTTGGTTTCCCCTTATTATTGGCATAGACAGGAACAGTGTCTAGTCATTTTGATGGGACCATAATCTGAGGTCCCATGTACAAATTGGAGTGTGTGTAAATGAACCCCTTGACAGTTGGAATTCGAAAAAACGCCCACTGCCAGGGCAAAATTTCCCAACTTGGATTCAGTGGAATTAAAAAGAGGCCAATCAAAATATTTATTAGGCGGTGCTGGCTTGTTTTCACTATACATCGTTTGCAAAATGTTCATCAGGACTTTCTTGCATGGTTCCCCCTTGTCAGTGGTGCAGGAGATAATATATAGTATTTCGGATGGGACAAACAACCAAGGTCCTGTGTACTCATTGGGGTGTAAAAGATCCCTTTACAGTTGGAGTTCGATACAAGTGTAGGCCGTGTCACCGCTGTCCTGGTTAAATTTTCCTCATAGCACACTGTATGGTGTATGCCCATCTTCATTAGCCCAGTCTGAGCATATTTAAGTATTTTGAATTGCTGAATTTTGCACCGTGAACATTGAAATATTATTGGCAACGTTATCCTTCCATACACCAACACTGGTTCACCTATGGTCCCACTTGATTAAAAACAAATAATTCCACTGACTTGTCTTTGATATCACCCTAGTGGACGAAGCAGACTTTAAGCCAATGAACGAATAAATTCATTATACTGAGTATTACTCCTGAACGGTGCCTGTTCTATTTTTTATCTCCTTTTGTTGTATCAGAAACCGTGATTTATTTTGTAAGTTGAACTATTATTTGTGACATTATATATTGTCATATACAAGATATATTTGTAACTTTAAAAACAACAAAATATCAAGAAATTTTCACAATCATCAACTTTATTTCTTTGGAAAATTTAAAAACCGAATACCACTCCCATAAACAATTTTTGATGTTAACCATCTTGAAAAAATATGGTCTGTTCTCTCTGCATTACCCTGGAACACACTTCCTTTAATCAAGGATTCCCTATCTCTTTCATAATTAATCAGATTAAAATACAGATCTATATTTCGTTCCGTTTTTTATACTTTCGATGGCCTACACTACATGAAGAACTGACCAGTTGTACTGGGAGATCGCGTCAGGGACCATACAAGCAGCTTTTCACCCTATGTACTGGAAGGTCCTGTCAGGGGTCGTACAAGTGGCTTTTGACCCTATGACATCAGACATTGATTAATCAATCAGCATTGATGTTTCTAATGGTTTACCCACAGTTCCATGCATGGCACACCAAGAAGTCGCTGTAACAGACCGTTTCATTGGCTAATCCCTCGCTTCAACCAAAACGCCTGTAATATAACAACTCTTCCAGATCCTATTGTAGTAAAGACAAGTAAAACGAAATTTTGAACTGTAAAAAAACAAAACAAAATAGGATCTGTGTTTTAATCAGATTGTTTCATAATGATCTTATAATCAGTTCAGATACTTGGGTAGATTGATGATTTAGCCACGTCGAAATGTCACACCTTCAGATACTTGCTTCACTGTGGGTCCATGTCTGTACATTTGTTTTCATCTTATCAAACTGTCATCCAGGCTTCAGGGTTTTCAAACCAGGGTTGATAATTTTTTCTATTCAGGAACTTACATTTTTTCCCACAATCTAAACATGTTATCTCTGAATACTTTTCCCCATTCGCTGAAATATATAAACGGATTAACTCAATATTATCTATTAAAACCGAGCCTGTCAAAGCATGTATTATCACACAAGTATATACACAACTTTATCAGACACAAATTATTATACAACATAATGTATTATATTCCTTATGTATTATAATACATTATGTCGTGTGATAATATGTGTCGGTTAAAGTCTGTTACAGGCAACAAAACATACACCCACAGCAGCTAAATCGTCCGAGCTGTCGACAAGGGTTGTCGCATATTTATTTTTTTGTAGGCAATTCAGGGCTTTTACAAGACAATTTCATACAGTTCAGATTATAATTTTTGTCGTTTGAGGGTTCACAAGGGTTTTCAAACTGAAACAAGGGCCTTAACTCTGGAAGTAATTTACAGAAACTTTTTAAATTTGACAGGCTTTTTCATTTTACTAATTTAAATAATGCATATAAATTTCATACAGATCAGATGATAACTTTTGTCATTTGAACGTTCACAAAGATCACACATTAAAACAAGGGCCTTAACTCTAAATAATATTTTGAAAATTTCAGTGAAATTGCTTCATTCTGAGTGACATTTGGAGAATAGAAGAGTCTTGATTGTCATTGCTACTGATAGTAAACATTGTCTCGATTATCCATATTTTAATTAATAGTAGTATGAATTCGTGTTTGAACAACATTGATGCATGGTATGAAAAAGGTTGGTCATCCTGTAGGTAATATAAAATACAATATGATTGTTTACCTTTTATTCTCACTGACATTGTTATTCCTGGCACCAATAAAACACAACATTTCTTACAGATACTTCTCTTTATATACGGATGTCTAAAATATATCACAAATATTACAAATATATCAAAAAATATCAAACATATTACATATACGAATGTCTAAAAAAAACACAGAATTTTAACCAATGCCAGATTTACTATGGTGAAGCTGAACCATGACGCACAAAAAGGGCGCCACAATAAAATGTATATATACATCTGGATTTGGTGTTCAAAGTCCCATTTCAATTTCAGCATACAGGTAAGCTATGTTTCATTGTAGAATTTATAGGCGTAGGGGCAGGTATTTGCGTTTTTTGAGCACAAACATCAAAGAATGAGACCATATACTTAAGTGGAGCTTTGTAGAAAACTTGTTTTAGTTCATGATTGATTTATTCTGAAATTTCAGATTTCAAAAGAAAATTTTGGGGCAAAAAGCCTCATCCCTCTCCCTCAAACTGAGATTGGCATCCTACGCCTATGGATATAACAAATTTAAACGCTGCTCCATATTATGCGTAACTTGATAGCAAATGGCCTACCTCCTTCAGGATCCAAGTAAGGGGTCTCATAACTTAACAAGCACAGGATCCATTTGTCCTAAATCCAGCATTGGATACAAATAAGGGAACCATAATCTTCATTGTTCCGAATCTCTAAAGGTATGAATTCGGCCCTCGTTTTGATGGCAAGATTTTTATTTCTTACAATGGAGTTTAAAATCTTACTAATCTGAACTTAACAAGTTAATGTGGGAAATTTTGCCTACTTTTCATTGAACTCCAACTGTCAAGGCCTCTCTTATGTGCATTCCAATAGGAACACAGGACCTTGACTAGACAACTTTTCTCTGCCAACACCAGGCCCTAGCTCCATTCTATACCAATGACAAGATGAAACGAAGGCTGGCAAATCCCGAGGAACTACCTACCTCTACCAACACCAGGATTAAATGTGGAGCTCCCTGTTTCTTGGACAGAATGAGTACAGTAATTAATGTAACTTACAAACGAAGAACTTGTCGCTGCGTAATGGCTCTCAATGTCTTGATATAAAATCGACATAAACTCAGATCAGATGGACTTGTTGTTAATGCCTGGTGAGCTGCCTACAAATAAAACAATATTCAATTACAAACCAAGATGTCGCAGACTTTGTCGGTTGCACTCTCTCTAATATACACCATGGACCTTATAAATGTGTACAGCCTGTACAGGTATATCCATTCCCCCAAAATAGCTTGCAAAATGTGGGCTACACAGATTTGTCTCAGAGTTTGTCTATAACATGACCTCCAATGTGCCAATTTCTACTGTTTAAATACAGAATTTATTCATTAAAAGGAAGAGCAAAATTATGGGGTGACAGATGGGGAGACCGAATGGGCCAGTTCTTCGGATAGTAAAACCATCCACGTGTTCACGCGTCAGACATTCAAAATCTGAACAAAAAAATTAATACCTCACCTGATACAGAAAATTTATTCTTTGATAAATTTCTTTATGAACTAAACTACCCTTCTTTTTGGCCATGATTTTTAATAGGCCTATAGGCCTACTACTCCTTTCAAATTATGATGAAAGATAACGAAACATGTTTGTAAACAAAACTTATCTAAACCGGATATTTTATTTAACGCATGCGCGATTGTTGTATAAGGCGCGTGTTCCGGTTAATGGTTATTGACAGAACTTGTTTTAGGAAACGACCGCATTCTGAAAAATTGTTGATTATTCCACAAACAAAAACACAATTAATGCACGATTACACATTCAGTTATCTCTGCAAAAACAGCTTTCGTTTATGAAAATGACTTGAACTAGAGAATTCCCCATAAATAGAAATGGGCAGTGGGTTGCTTTACGTAACCTTGAGTGCGAAGAAAGGTGGTTTGTTGACAGCAAGTGGAGTTAGCGGACGATTTATTAGAAGCCATAGCAATATCCCATGGTTGCTGACAGGTCACAGAGGAAATGTGGTTCATAACCATAACACAAGATGTGTAAGAAAATACTGATTTAATTTTTGGATTGCATAAAACAAACTAAAGGGAGGGGGTTTAAAAGGTCCCCAAGATGATGATGTGTCTTTTTTTTTGGGCCTAGCACATGTACGTTGACCCGGCTACTTTTGACTTCCACTACTAACCATAAGTAGCCGGATCAACGTACTGCGCCTGTCTTTTGGGGGTGGGGGAGGGACTCTCCCCTCTGCCTTGAAAATTTTTGAGAAATACATGGTCTCTCCCGGGCCTGCCTTGAAATTTTTTGAGAAATACATGGTCTCTATCGTCATTTTGGCATATATCTGGGGTACCAGAGGGCACTTTGACAAAACACAGAAACTGGAATTTTACATAAAAAACATAGTAAAAACATTTACCAACTACACTATGTTTTAGTTTTACTGATAGGCAATAAAATCAGTTCTGTAAGAGTTGGACAGGAAACTTTAATGAAGCAAAATAGAAAAACAAAAGGCAGTGGCTGTTGTTACGACAAGTTGTAAAAATAGTCCTCAGACTATTGTTACAACGATGCTTTCAGAGCCCTGCATCGGCGAAGTTAAAAACTGAATAGTCGTAAAAATAGTCCTCTGGCTATTGTTACGACCATCAATTTCTATTTACTCCTCTGAATCAATGGATTTCAACTTCACTACAGGCCCGGATCCATCGAATTCAAAAGTGTTGTTTTACAATTTTTTTTTTTTTATGTAGCTGAGCAGGGGGAATTTAGTTGTTGTACCCTTCACTAATTCCCATTGCAACCCTGCATTAAAGCATAATCATTATTAAAATATTAGAGAAATATGTACCCCTCCCCCCCCCCCCCCCCAACCTTTTCCGAACCATATTTCTCTATGTATTACCTATGACACAATTACCAATATTACCATCTGACATCAAAGGCCAATTGGTAATAGAGTTTTGTTCAGAATGGGCAGATTAGAAGCCCAGACACTTCGAAATTCCTGCATGCAGTCATTTTGAATATTGATACTACCGATATATCACATGATTGCTTATAGCCAATGAATGATGAATATAGGCCACCACATGATACACTCAAACTGAAATGCTATGAATTGAATTTTACTTCAAAATTTCCTTTTAGATATTTTACTAAAACAAAACCATATATATCTGAAATACAGTTGTGCATGTAGTTTGAACACTAATATTATTTCATATTTTTCTTTTATAAATTCTAGTTAGCAACAAAACCAGTATCACCCCCCAAAATTGACGTATATTTGGAAAATGGCCAAAATGATCATCATATTCCTGAAACATTTAAGACACATTCAAGAACTTTATCCAAAGATGGTGGTTCTCATTCAACATTACGAGAATCCATAAGTGATGTACCTCAAACAGATTTATTGAAAAATATCACCCACAATAACAACGTAACCCTGCATTTTAAAAATTCAAGAACTTTGGCTCATTTAAGTTCAAGCCATATAGACAACATATCACTATTTGTTCCTCATAAAAATCAACTTATAAATTTTACTCGTCCGGATTTAGCGGAGAGATTGAAAAGATTAGAGAAAGATAAAACAATACCAGCTAATGTGATAGATTCTATAGACGAAGTACACTGGAAGGAACAAAGATTAGAGTTAAATAAACTACCTGGCTATTATTTAAAATTATCTAAAATACGACTTACAGGTGAGGTTGTTTTTAAAGTAGCTAAGCCTCTAACTCAATATTATCTATTAAAATAACGAATTATTTGTCAATTTAAATCAACATTGGTGTTGTGATCTTACCGGGAAAAGATGAGCTTCTGATATCCAATATTTAAAACAAAATAAACATTTTACCATTGGTGCACGAATCGTGTGCCATTTGTAACAAGGGAATTGAAGAACAAGGCTAGACATATTCCGACCTCATATTCTTACATGTATATGGAGAGAATGTGCAATACCCAGACGCTAGAGATTGCCATTCTCTTGCGTATTTCGCCGAACATAGCTGATTTAAATTTACAGTAAATATTGAATGTAAATCAGTTTACATACATTCATATTACATTATTATTTGGATTGTGACCCATTTGTGTCAATTTCTAGGTCCCAAATATTAGCGATTTAGCTCCTTTAATGGATAGGGGCATTGAGTGGTCTAATACTTAAACTTTAGATCATAATATCTTTTAATGTGTCAGGTGACATGGTTTCGATCCCACAGTTGTACTGTAGGTGATGATAAGGAGTAGGGTGTTTGCCTAGTCTGGTAGGTTTTGTTTCTTGTCCTCAGGTTTCCTCCCACTGCTAACGACCCCTATATGTATTTTCATGCGAAATTATTGAAATAAAACCTGTTATTATATTTTAGTTCCCAAAATAACTAAGTGGAGTGAATTATGATCTTCTCTCTCTCTCTCTCTCCCTCTTGTTAGTCCTGAAATGACAGTGTTAAACCCCCTATCTCCCTCTCTCTCTCTCTCTCTCTCATTCCTTATGAAAGTTCTTCTCAAAAACTTTGTATATAAACTGTTTTAATTTTATTAGGTTTGGTTGTGTTGACGACGATGGCAGGGTATGCTATGTCCCCTGGTGTTTTCGATCCATCAATATTTTTATTATGTAGTGTTGGAACAGCTTTAACTTCCTGTGCAGCTAATTCTATAAATCAGGTGGGTGAATCACTTTTTTGTGAGCTTCTGTTGTTTCATTGGCTGTGGGGCAGGGCAGGGCACAGGGCAGGGCAGGGCAGTTGAAGGCAGAATGTAGGTAAAACTTTTTCTTGTGAGCTTCTGTCGTTTTGGAGGGGATGGATGGCCGAATGGTTAGCACTGTATCATAAGGTCTGTCATTGAGTCTGCTGCCGTTGTTTCGATTCCCCGGTTGTACGTGACAGAATGTAGGTAAAACTTTTTCTTGTGAGCTTCTGTCGTTTTGGAGGGGTTGGATGGCCGAATGGTTAGCACTGTATCATAAGGTCTGTCATTGAGTCTGCTGGCATTGTTTCGATTCCCTGGTTGTACGTGACAAGGAGTAGGGTCGCCTGTCCAACCTCGTAGGTTTTCTCCAGTTTCCTCCCACGGTTAAAAATCCCTACGCGCAAGCGGATTATTGAAATAAAATTGAACAATATGTACTAGCTCACAAATTAGGTCACTGGTTTGATCTCGTCTTTTGGAACGAGAATGCACAGCAGGATTTTCCAGCGGAGGGCCAAGAAAAATTGTCGTTACGGATGGGATGAAAATTTGATCGTCTTGTGAATACTAACAATCCCCTGTACATATTGGCATGCACGTCAAAGAAGCCTTGATAGTTATGTCATAGCACATTGCATGGCATAACCGTCTTCATTAGAAAGGTAGGAGCAGAAAAGTAGGAAATTAAATCCCTCTGACTTTATTTACTGTCGGTCTGCATCAATTATTTCTATCTGGTCTAACTTGCAACTGTCTGAATTCAAATGTTGTTTGACATTTTATATACAGGAGCCACGGTGGCTAAGTGGGTAAGATGCTGGCTCGCTAGTCTGGAGGTCGCCTGTTCGATCCCTGCATTGGCCGAAAAAGTTCATTGGGATTTTCTTACGTGGTTTCCACTTGTCAGTGGTGCAGGATGGAGGACCTGGCAAGGACAGCTGTCTAGTCATTCAGATGAGACGGAAAACCGAGGTCCCGTGTATACATTGGCGAGCACGTAAAAGATCGCTTGACAGTTGGAATTCAATATAAGAGTAGGCCATAGTGCCGCTGCCCAGGCAAAATTTCCCCCATCGTACACTGTACGGCATATGCCCGTCTTCGTTATCCCAGTCGGATATCCGTCTTCTTTGAAGTTAGATTAATTAGCAGAAATGTTATGTTTAAAATTGATAAATATTTAAGAAATTGTTTTTCAGTTTTTTGAAGTTCCGTATGATTCGCAGATGAATCGGACAAAGAACCGAGTTTTAGTTCGTGGCTACCTCAGGTAATTTTCATTTATAAAACTAAATTTGGATGAGAATGGACTGTTTCCTATAGGGGGGTCGGATGGCCGAATGGTTAGCCTGTGTGTGCTGTATCATAAGGTCTGTCATTGAGTCAACTGTAGTGGTTTCGATTACCCGGTTTTACGTGACGGAGTGGTTTCGATTACCCGGTTTTACGTGACAGAGAGTAGGGTCACCTGTCCAACCTCGTGGGTTTTCTCCGGGTCCTCCAGTTTCCTCCCACTGCTAAAGACCCTACGTATGTGAATTATGGAAATAAAATTGAACCATGTGTTAGTCCCAAAATGACCTAGATTATGTTGAGTGGCCGTTAAACCCCATTTCTCTCTCTCTCTCTCTCACCGATGACATCCCTGCATTGGCCGAGAAAGTTCATCCAGATTTTCCGGCGTGGTTTCCTCTTGTCAGTGATGCAGGATCGAGGGCCTGACAAGGACAGCTGTCTAGTCGTTCGGATGGTATGAAAAACTGAGGACCCGTGTACACATTGGCGTGCACGTAAAAGATCCCTTGGCAGTAGGAATTCGATATAAGAGTAGGCTGTAGTGCCGCTGCCCGGGCAAAATTTCCCTCATAGCACACTGTATGGCATAGGCCCGTCTTCATTAGCCCAGGTTAGGAGCAGAACAGTAGGACGTTAAACCCCATTTCATTTCATTTCATTTCTCTCACCCATGACAAGGGAAATAATAAACAGCCTTGTATGAAGTCAGACTACTAATTCTCTTCCCATTGACTTCAATTTTGCTTCCATGACAAGGGAGTTGCTTTGAGCAACAGTCGGCAGATTACAACCCAAGTTCTTATGGTAATGAAATGGGGTTTAATGTCCTACTGTTTTGGTCCGACTGGGCTATTAAAAACAGGCATATGCCATACAGTGTGCTATTGCAGAAATTTTACCTGGACAGTAGTTGAATTCCAACATTCAAAGCTTCTTTTGGAGCACATCATGTTGTACGAGGAATCTCGATATTTTGTCCCATCCGAATGACTAGACTTTCTGTTGCTGGGTCTTCCGTCCTGCCTAACTCACGAGCCAGTTTTGCGGTAATAATAGATGCTATAAAAGGTTATCGCTAGAAGCAGAAGGACTTGATTATCAAGACTAAAATTGAAATTGTACGTTTTTATTTTTCAGTCCCCTTCATGCTGTTGGATTTGCTACAGTTTGTGGTGTAACGGGTGTCTCTATTTTATTATTAGGGGTGAACAATCTGACAGCTCTATTAGGAGGCTTTAATTTATTACTGTATACACTAGCTTACACCCCTATGAAGAGGTATAGTACAGCCAATACGTGGGTAGGTGCTGTAGTAGGAGCTATACCACCTATGATGGGTTGGACAGCTGTAACAGGTAGTCTAGATCCAGGTATGATAAAACATTATTTAAATATGAGAGAGGGAGGTCTAGTAGATTAACCCATGAACTTTAGATCATAAGGCCTGAAATGACCTATTTTGTGTCAAGAGAATGTTAAACCCTATTTCTCTATCGCTCTTTGGGGGTTGGATGGCTGAATGGTTAGCACATGCACGCTGTATCATAAGGTCTGTCATTGATTCAACTGGCAGGGTTTCGATTCCTCGGTTATACGTGGCAAGGAGTAGGGTCGCCTGTCCAGCCTCGTGGGTTTTCTCCGGGTTTTCCAATTTCCTCCCACTGCTAAAGACACTTACGCACAAGCGAATTATTGAAATAAAATTGAACCATGTGTTAGCCCAGAAATGACCTAGTTTGTGTCAGTGGACTTTAAACTCTCTCTCTCTCTCTCTCTCTCTCTCTCTCTCTCTCTTAAGTACAAACAGACTTGTGTAGAATAAAGTCGGAAAGTTAATGGTTATAGAAAGGTTATGATTAAATTACAGCTTTATTCTACATAACAAGGTCGTTTTACAAGTAATTTATTGATGCTGTTTATTTTGTATTTCATTCTGTATTGAATGATGAAATTGACAAATGATAATTATTGCGTTATAAATTCCAATGGTGGGGTAGAGTCATCTGGTGGTTTAATGCATGAACGTAAAATCACAAGGTCTGTCATTGAGTCAAGTGGCATGGTTTTGAATCCCCGCTTGAATGTGATAAGGAGTAGGGTTATCTGTCCAACCTCATTGGTTTTCTCCGGGTCCTCCAGTTTCCTCCCATGTGCAAGCGAATTATTGAAATAAAATTAAACCATATGTTAGTCCCAAAATGACCCAGTTTGTGTAAAGTGGATGTTAAACCAAATCTCTCTTTCTCTCTCTCTCTCTCTCTCTCTCTCTCTCCCCCCATATAGATGTTATAAAACTGATTTTTATCCCCGGTTGTACGTGACAAGGAGTAGGGTTGGCTGCCCAACCTCATGGGTTTTCTTCCGGGTCCTCTGGTTTCCTCCCACCCTTACGCACAAGCAAATTATTGAAATAAATTTGAACCATGTGTTAGTTCTAATATGACCTAGTTTGTGTTGAGTGGACTTAAACCCCCTCTCTCTCTCTCTCTCTTTCTCTCTCTCTCTCTCTCTAGATGATGTATAGATGTTATAAAAACAGTGATTTTCACACTGTAAAATTCAGAGTGAATAACAACATTGTAATTTATATTTTGGTAGGCATGATTAGATGTTGCTGGCTCGTTTACTAATACAACTTTTATTCTTTACAGGTGCTTTGTTATTAGGAGCCATTTTGTTTTCCTGGCAGTTTCCTCACTTCAACGCTTTAAGTTGGAATTTACGTCCGGACTATTCTCGTGCTGGATATCGAATGATGTCCGTCGTCAATCCAGATTTGTGTAAAAGAGTTGCTTTCCGTTATTGTTTAGCTACAACTGGATTGTGTTTAATGGCCCCACTGATTGATCTAACAACGTGGACATTCGCAGCCGATTCCCTTCCTTTAAATTTATATCTTTCATACTTAGGATGGCGTTTCTACAAACAAGGTGATAGCAACTCTTCTAGAAAACTTTTCCGTTTTACGCTTGTACATATTCCAGCTTTATTATTGTTAATGTTAATCAGTAAAAAAACTTTCGGTAGTCACCAGAGTCAACAAATTACACCTGTCGTGGTTAGCTAGGGGTTGTGTACAAGGTGCGATGTTAGAACACATAATTAATATAAACTCAAAAGAGACAAAATAAGGACATTGAAAGCCATGGTAGAGCTGTTAGATCATGTCTATAGACCTAAGAAGTTCACTGTAATATGTAAGAACTCACTCCAAACACAAACCACTTAAACATGTGTTACATCATGGAGACTAACTTGTGAGGTGTTAAAAGACATTATGCAAACCAATTGAACATGCATTACACGACGAGATGGAACTTGGGAATTGAAAGGCATTGAAGAGCTGTAAGATCATGTGCCAGAACCCTAGTGTCAGCTGTAACGTGTAAGATGTTCGAACACATATATGCAAACCAACTGAATACATTACATGAGGAGGGCCTTCAGTTCTGCTTTATGGTGAAACTTTTGTAAATTTGATTTGCTTGTTATTGATGTGTGCCACTGAGTTGAGTCTAGGCTTGTGAAAAAAAGGCTAAATAATAGATTATATAACGTTTTGAACATAGGCGTATAGACTTGATGAATGTTAGGGGAAGCAGAACCTGAAATGCCCCCCAAAATTTCGGGTTACAGACGTCTAGGGACACTCCCTGAATACAGCAATGTGGTCCAATATAGCCTACCTTTAGTGGCTTACCTGAATCCCAAACAACCAATCGATCTTCGCAGGGTAATGGGGGGGGGGGAGAAAATTTTGAAAATTTAACTGCCGAATATGCTTTTTCAGCTATTCTAGCCCATGAGTTAAGTAACTTCAAAGTTTCCAATCGTTTTGTAATCCCACTCTATGCCGACCTGAATTCCAATTATCCAATCGGACTATTGCAACTGCATTCATAAATCATGATTTATAAATCATAAATCACAATTTGTGGTATTCAATTAAAAGAAAAGTAAAAATAGTGTTTTATTAGATTTCGGACACTATATTTTGCCAACTAGATGAAATAATAATTTTTTGTTTTCACTTTACCCATCTGCCCCGAAAAGTCAGATTGCCCGAAAGTTAGCAGGTCAGCTGCGCCCCCCGCCCCCTTCCCCTTCCCCCTGACTCGTACGCCTATGGTTTTGAAGCCAAAAGAAAGACCTGCAATAGGCCAATTTATTTTTAAATTCACAAAACATTGTTATTGTTTTTGTTATGTTACATACCTCAAAAAATCATAAATGCAAAGAATTCAGGCCTCGAGTTCACAAAGCATTCTGTGACTTAAGTTAAGACTCAACTTTCAATCACTGTTTATGAGAAATATCTTTGATCCAGAAACACAAAACTTTGCACATAGTTTCTTACTGGTGTATTTGATAAATTAAGACAAAAAATGTTTTATAATGGGCTATATTTTAGTTAAAATAAGGTGAACAATTTTGAGTAAATTCTTAACTTAAGTCTGAGAATGCTTTGTGAAGCCGGCCAGGTGTCAACCAACTGCTTACATGTACATATAAATATATATATATATATCAATGCAAACTAACAAACCCATAAGGTTATGCAACTTTTTTTCTTTTTTTTTTGTGGGGTTTAACCCCTAGATAAAGTGTCTATCAATGCAAAACTTAAACAATAAATCAATTTCCTGCTTGTATGTGACAATGAGCAGGGTTGCCTGTCCATCCTCTTGATGGTCTTATGGTTTTCTCACACTGCTAAAGACCCCTATGCACAAGCAAATTATTGAAATGAAATTGAATCGTGTGTTAGTCCCAAAATGACCTAGTTTGTGTTGAGTGGACGTTAAACCCCATTTCTCTCCCTTGCAAACTACTATATTATGAAAATTGATTTTCTAAAAGAAATCAGCCGTCTGATAAAGTAAAATGTCGGGGTTGTTTCAGTTTATTTCTGACCTTGTACTAAATTCATTTTGCTACATTTTGTGAAAATTTGGCGTTGGCTCAGTGAGTAGGGCTCTGACACACCAATCTGGGAGTTCGATCCCAGGTTGAGAAAGTTCGCTAGGATTCCCCTCGTCATTGGTGCAGGACAGAGAGTCTGGAAAGAACAGTGCCAAGAAGTTTGGATGGGATGGAAAACCAGTTAGATAAAATTTTCCTCATAGCACACTGTATGTTTTTATTAGCCCAGTTGGTGTAGAAAAGTAGGACGTTAAACCCCACCCATATCATTTCAGTCAGGGAGGTTGGATGGCTTAGTGGTAAGCACGTGCACGTTGTATCATTAAGTCTGTCATTGAGTCAACTGCCGTGTTTTTGAATCCCCGGTTGTACGTGACAAGGAGTAGGGTCGCCTGTCCAACCTCGTGGGTTTTCTCCAGGTCCTCCAGTTTCCTCCCACTGCTGAAGACCCCTACGCTCAAGAAAATTATTGAAATAAAATTGAACCATATGTTAGTCCCGAATTGACCTAGTTTGTGTCGAGTGGAGCTAAACCCCATTTCTCTCTCTCTCTCTCATTTCAGTCAGGGAGAAAATGAAATAGTAATTATATTTTAATTATAGTGTTATTATTTAAACAGTGATAATTTTATATAGTAATTTGTTATTAATGATTTGATTGATATAACAAGATGTGAACTTGATTTTACTGTGTATATTGTTGATAATGTATGTTAATACGTGTAGAGTGAAATATTATTTAATTTAATAAAACTGGACACTAATATTATACCCGTCTTTATTAGTCCGGTAAATGATCAGATCTAAATATTATAAGACCACGTGCAGGTTTCATCAAGGTCACAAGATGTAAACAGGGTTAGGGCATGTGATTGTTGCCGATGATTGTGGGATAGGGTAATGGTTCTCAACCCTTTTTTTGCCAATGGCACACCTTGAAACACATGAAAAAAATAGTGGCACACCTGGCTAATTATATATGAAAAATATTTGAATTTTGCAAAATAAAAACATGGCAAGTCATAGACGGCATACAACCGTAAACTCAAACTAAATAAAGAAAAACATATCTATGAACTTACTTTATTGCAGTGTTTCGAATTTCATCAGGCTAGCTCGCTAGCCTGGAGGTCGGGTGTTTGATCCCTGCATTGGCCGAGAAAGTTCATCCAGATTTTCCGGCGTGGTTCTCCCTTGTCAGTGATGCAGGACGGAGGGGCTGACAAGGAAAGCTGTCTAGTCGTTCGGATGGGACGAAAAACCGAGGTCCCGTGTACACATTGGCGTGCACGTAAAAGATCCCTTGACAGTTGGAATTCGATATAAGAGTAGGCCATAGTGCCGCTGTCCGGGCAAAATTTCCCTCATAGCACACTGTATGGCGTATGCCCGTCTTCATTAGCCCAGGTTAGGAGCAGAACAGTAGGACGATAAACTCCATTTCATTTCGAATTTCATCAGTCAAATAGCTGGCTTCTTTAGTGAGAAATTTTCTTAGTGTGCTGTTCAAAATTTGGCGGCACACTTAGGAAGATCTTGCAGCACACTGGTTGAGAATCACTGGGTTAGGGTAATGGTTAGGGCTTGGGTTAGCGCTAGCCCTGTTTATATCTCATGACCTTGATGAAATCTTCAGGTGGCCTTCAGATCTACCCCTGCTCGTAGATGCCGAAATGTGGGATGATAAAACCCCGGGCTGGATTCAGCTTGAATGGGGCCCCTGGCTGCAAAGTGACTAGGATCCTTGTATAAACAGTGAAAAGGGGACATACCCGGTATTTGTGTCAGTATGGTAGATTTATTTGGCACGAACATATACAATTTTATAATTGATATATTTATGGTACAATTTAGTTTTAGATGTAATTTGGGGTCCCAGGCTGCCGGGTGGGGGGGGGGGGGTGTAAGCCGAATGGTTAGCATGTGCGCATTGTATCATAAGGCCTGTCATTGAGTCAACTGGCGTGGTTTTGAATCCCCGGTTGTACGTGACAAGGATTAGGGTCGCCTGTCCAACCTCATGGCTTTTTCTCCAGGTCCTCCGGTTTCCTCCCACTGCTAAAGAATTATTGAAATAAAATTTAACCATATGTTAGTCTCGAAATGACCTAGTCTGTGTCGGGTGGACATTAAACCCCATTTCTCTCTCTCCCCCAGGCTGCAGACCATTCAGCCCTACCTCACTTTAAACCTTGGTTGAACCCTGTTTCGTGCATTCATAGTACACTGCATGGCGTTTGACGGTCTTCATTAACCTAGTAGGTACACAGAAATATGACTTAAACCCCTTTTCATTTATTCAGCTGGATACCCAGCAATGGAGGCAGACCACCATTAAATTTCACAATCTCGGTAGTTCGTCTATTTATAGCAATTCTCTCTCTCTGTCTCTTTTCTCCCCTTTTGCATGTCTATTTTTGTTGATTTTTTGGTCTAGAATGGACGAAGAGGGTTTAAATTAACATTTTCTGCCAGGTTTTGGTAAATATTCGTGATTTAGAGGCGGAATGATAACAGAGTTATCAGGTTGGCTACGGTAATATGTACGGCGAATAGTTGAATGTTTTTACTATGCTTCTTCAAGTTTGTGTATCTCAAAATTTTGGTGGTCAACGTCATACAAATTTTGGTGCAAAGACATGACCATTTGTTTCTATGTCTGTAGTGAAAAGCATTCAGCCCAACGAAAATTTGGGGAAAAGTTGGAGCCGGGCAAAGAGGCCAGAATTAACATTGAAGTCAATGGGGAAATTAATTGTGGTCTGCCTCCTGTCTCCAAAACAAAGTTGTCATCATATGCCTATAGGACGTCCAGTCCCCGTTTCATTTATTCATTCATAGTACACGGCAACATGACGTATGTCCGTCTTCATTAGCACAGTTGGTGCAGAGGAGTTCAATTTTAAAGATGTCTTCCCGTCTACAAACTGTGATATTATGATATGCGGGGTAAAAACATATTCAAACTAATTTACAGAAGAGTGCAATTTTAAAGATACCTTCCCGCGTACAAACTGTGATATTATGATATGTGGGCTTAAAAGAAATTCAAACTATTAACAGTTTGCTTCAAATTCCTCTCAAAACATTTTAATTGGAGGAAAGCTACACCCAAGAATCTATATTAAGAATCCCTGTTTGTCATGTGACGTGATTGAGGCGGAATCCATTTTAAACTTGTGTTGTCTTTAGTCGCTGTTAGGGGGGGGGGGGGGTAGCACGTGCGCGCTGTCTCATAAGGCTGTCATTGAGTCAACTGGCGTGGTTTCGAATTCCCGGTTGCACGTGACCAGGAGTAGGGTTTCCCTCCACTGCGAAAGACCCCTTTGCGCAAGCGAATTATTGAAATAAAATTAAACCATATTATAGTCCCGAAATGACCTAGTCTGTGTCGAGTGGACGTTAAACCCCATTTCTCTCTCTCTATTTCCCCAGATTTGACGAGATCATTCGCTTTTTATTAGAAAATATTTATTAGTCAAAATAAATGGCATGGCTCTACTCTTTGGGTCATAAAGTAGACAAAAATGGTTCCAAAAACAAATATTAATATCAATGTGATATGCATGAATATTCAGTGATTTATAATCATTGTTTAAATTTTTATAATTACTAATCAGCCATTACTAATTACTTCTGAATTGATATGTTTTTATTTGTTAATTACAAATGGCACCCGAAACCATAGAAATACACGACTGATTATAAAATGTCCATTACGTCTTAAATATTGGACATTAGGATCAATTTTGTTCGGTGAAATACTTTGTGAATCAGCCATTACTAATTACTTCTGAATTGACATGTTTTTCTTTGTTCATTACAAATGGCACCCGAAACCATAGAAATACACGACTCGTGTACTGATTATAAAATGTCCATTACGTCTTAAATATTGGACATTAGGATCCCATATTTTCATAGTTAGATAAAAACATCAATATTGATTAAAATGGACCAATATTGAATTGTAATTTGTGTTTTTGATTTCGAATTCTATGGAAAATATTGAGTTAGTATATAACTCCTTTAACATTTTTATCACACGTCTGTTTATTTTGGATGTTTGAGATGATTGTCAAAGCCTGGCACCTTTTATCGTTTTCATCTCGTGGCCAGAAGCAACGATCATCCCTTGGTGGAGATGTAGACGAAGAAACACGACAGCTTGTCTTACTAGTTGAGGGTTGGTTTTCATCTCGGCCATCAGAATCGGAAGTAAAATCCACTAATGGCGTCACCATATCATTAGAAGACAGTTCAGTTAATCCGGTGTTATGTTCTGAAATGCTTTCCGATAATAAAAGAGAAGTCTGGGTCTGAATTAGATTGGATAAAAATTCTTTGGTACTGTACTTCTCCTTTTCTTTAAACTGGGGTTCATATGTGTTTGAAGAAGAACCGCAGCCCATTGCAGTTGAATGATGTTTTGGTCCGGGTTACAATTAGTTAGTAAAAAAACTATATTCACTGATTTTAAAAGTAACCGTCACTATATTCACAGATTCAAAAATAACTATATTCATTGGTTTTAAAAGTTACTATATTCACTGATTTTAAAAGTAACTTTATTACCTGATTTTAAAAGTAACTATATTCGCTGAGTAACTATATTCACTGAGTTTCCATATTCACTGAGTAACCATATTCACTGAGTAAGTATATTCACTGAGTAACTATATTCACTGAGTAATTATTTTCACTGAGTTACCATATTCACTGAGTAACTATATCCACTGGGTAATTATATTCACTGAGTAACTATATTCACTGAGTAACTATATTCACTGATGTTAAAGTAACTATATTTACTGTTCCTAACTGGACAATATTACACACTTGAACGTTAATTTGTACAAGTTACAATTAATTTGTAATAACAAAATATATTCATCGATTTAAAAATAGTTCATTTTTATACATGGAACTATCTTTATTTATTGTAACTATCTTTGTTTATTTTACGGGTAACTATACAGGTAACTAAATCACAAATAGAATTTCCTATTTCCATACATTTAATTACCTACATTTAAATAATGTCTGTAATCAGAGTAAATCAAATCTACAAGATGATTTATCGTTGATTTTAAAGAATCCATTTGAGTATATTTTAACGTGGATGAATCGTTGAAGAATGATAGAATTGCCCAAAATAAATCCTTATATAAAACTTTTATAGGTTGTCCACTTTTGTTTGAGGCAGACGTTAAAACATTTTGGCGATATCACAACAGTGGAGACAGGCGTTAAACAAGAAGCTCCTGCCACAAGCTTAAAGCAGTACAAATAAGGAACCAATGTCATTAGGCACCACGCACCTGTACTAATGATTCGCCATCTGACTTGACATCGTTAGCAGACAGTTAGCAGCATGAAAATAAATCTAATTATATATTTCAAGGGTTAGCAGAGTTTTCATTACGTCATCCACGCTGTTATTAATATATCGGACTTCTGTAATTGCTATTTATGACGTCATACATCAAATTAAAGCGGTGCACCAGTTAAATTATCAAAAGTCCTACTGTTTTGCTGCAATTCGGCTAATGATGACGGACATCCGTCATTCAGTGTATTAGCTAATGTTTGAGGTAACTTTTCTCAGACACCTGCTCTACAGTCGCACCCGATTAGATTTTATTACATACTTCGAGAAGGTATTTGTTGAGTAATAAAACCTTCTATTAGTTTATCGGGGGCTGGCCGTCCTTACCGCACGGTACAAATAAAACCTTCTAGTAGTTTATCGAGGTTCAGGTGCTTCCGGAGTCCAAAATGGCCGCTTTATATAAATGAGAATTTTGGGAATAACTAACCCGAACCCTAACCCTAACCCTTTTTAAAAGACTGAACTTGGGTCTAATTTAGTTTTTACTTCTCTTAAAAGGGTTGGGGTTAGGTTTCGGGTTAGTATTCCCCTAAATACTCATTTGTATAAAGCGGTCATTTTGGTATATATGAGTTCTGGCTTGTTCTGGAATTTGTTGCTTCTAGTGGTGATAATATTTGTACCGTGCGGTAAGGACGGTCAGCCCTC